TGGATTGGCATAATATAAAAGTCAGCACTGTACACAGGAGACTTTAAAAATCTCCTTAAAGGAGTTTTTTTCTAAATCCAATATATTTGTGTTACACTGGAGAATAAGTTGACAAATTGTAGATTACCATCATCTTGATAACCCAGGCACAAAAAAGTCTGGCATAAGAGCAGTCCTTGAGTAGTTTTACTCTTGTCAGAACAAAGAGATGAGGGATTAGTGAAACTGTGAAGTAGCTCTCAAATCTTTCAGTGCCATCAGCACCTGATGTCAAAGTTCATCTCAGAGCAGAATGTGTAATTTTGAAATATGTGTGTTTTAACAAGCATTTTAGGGAGATGAATGATCACATTAGTGATTTTCTTCAGAAGTAATTTCCTTAGCCTGACTTGATTTGAATTTTGACCTTTTAAGACTTGATCTAAATCCATTTAAGATGCTTCTGAAGGGCTTAAAAGACAACGAGAAGTCAACAGCTTTCATATTAAAATTATTTGAACTGTTCAGAATGAAACATTTAATTCTCACAGAAGCCATATCTTTAGGGCTACACAGTCCTCACTCTACAGCAAAGCAAAAATTAATGGAAATTGGAGAGAAAAATCAAATTGGTCTCTGTCTTGTGCCTGTGCTCTGTCATGCACAGCCATTTCCTGTGCTGTGGTTCTCAGTGTTGCACTTTAGAATTATTGTACAACCAAATTGGCTCAAGTATGAGGAAAATTTATATTGATTATCAAGGAAATTAGTATTACCCAGCATATTGTATATACAAATTCTTTGCACTGGTACCCGACTGTATCATTACACTTGTAAGCTGTTTACAGGGAATTGGCTGAATGGTTGTACTCAGAGTATTGCAGTCACCAGCTTAATGACCAGGTGAACACCAGTGACAAGTAACATTCCATAGGGGTCAGCACCGGAACTGATGCTGTTTAAGATCTTTGTTGGCAACATGGAAAGTGGTATGGAGTGCTCCCTCAGCAAGTTTGCTGACAACTCCAAGCTGTGTGGTGCTGTCGACACACTGGAGAGAAGGAATGGCATCCAGAGGGACCTTGACAGGCTTTAGGGGTGAGCCCATGTGTTAAACAAAGCCAAGTGCAAGGTCCTGCATGTGGGTCGGGACGATCCCAAGCACAAATACAGGCAGGGCAGAGAAAAGATCAAGAGCAGCCCTGAGGACAAGGGCTGGGGGGGTGTTGATTCACAAGAAGCTCAATGTGACTTAGCAATGTGCAGTCGCAGCCCAGAAAGCCAACCATGTCCTGGGCTGCATCAAAAGAAGTGTGACCAGCAGGTTGAGAGAGGGGATTCTGCCCCTCTGCTCCACTCTCGTGAGATCCCACTTGGAGGACTGTGTCCAGCTCTAGGGCCCCCAGTGCAAGAGAGATTTGGACCTGCTGGAGCATGTCCAGAGGAGGGCACAAAGATGATCAGAAGGCTGGAGTACCTCTGCTATGAAGACAGGCTTGAGAGAGTTGGAGTTGTTTAACCTGGACAAAAAAAGGCTCCAGGGAGATGGTAGACAGATTTCCAATGTCTAAAGAGGACCTACAAGAAAGCTGGAGAGGGACTTTTTACAAGATCATGTAAGGACAAGAGGGAATGACCTTAAGCTGAAGGAAGGTAGGTTTGGATTCGTTGTTAGAAAGAAGTTCCTTACTATAAGGGTGGTGAGGCACTGGAACAGATTGCCCAGAGAAGTTGTGGCTGCTGCATCCTGGGAAGTGTTCAAGGCCAGGTTGGATGGAGCTTTGAGCAACCTAGTGGAAGGTGTCCCTGCCTGTGGCAGGGGGATTGGAACTAGATTTTTAAGGTCCCTTACAACTCACACCATTCTATGATTCTATTATTTTCTTCTGTGTGTTTAAGCTCATGAAGCGATGGGTAGTTGCTCATCTGCTTCCATCATATATGCTCCCTTCATGCAGGACAAAATTCATAATTTTATCTGATAGTACTTTATACACTAATTATTAATATATTCTTCAGCAGAATAATAAATCTTGTAGAAATAGTAGTATAGCAGTAGAATTAGCACAGTAGCAGAGCTTGAACAAATCTCCAGCCTTGAAGGAGTGTTATTTTTGAACATATCCAGGACTGCAAGATGCTGGAAAATGCAGATACCTTTGCTTTTATTCTGTGTACCCTGGTGGTTTACTACTGAAGGATTAGCAAAGCACAGTTCATTACTGCAAGGTTTCTATTAAATCTAGTCTCCAGTGCTGTTTTTCCTGTTTCATTGCGCTGAATCTGCTTTCTTGCAAAAAAATTTCCTCTCAGTTATGGGCAGACAGCAGAGAATAGATGAGTGGCTTCAGCCATAGGAGACTTCGGAGACATCTGTTTTTCCCTTGTATCATTTTTGTTCCACTCTGTCAAAAGTAGGACACACCTGGAGGATGGCAGGGGAGGGAAACATGCTGACCTGCCTGCAGTTGTGTCTGTATGAATCAGCAGGTTGGTTTGTGCTCATGGAGATGGATGCAAGATAATAAACCAAGTATGTCTTTGTTTACAGTAGTGTTTGAGAGAAAGCGTGATCCCTCTCTGAGGAGCTGCCAATCTGCCTGGGCAGAATGGAGAAGCCCATCTCAGCATCAAGATGTTTTAAAATGCTCATCAGCTTGTATTCAGTACAAACACCTGCAAATGAAATTAGAGGAACAGCAAATGAAGCAGAAGTGATGATGTTAAAACTGTGAAACTGAGCACTCCTTTAATCTTGCAGTGGGGGCAGACACAGAGGGAGCAGCTACGCAGGGCTGAGCAGGAGGTCACAACGGGATCACTGGGTGTTCAGTAATTAATCTTTTAAACACCATTTCCTTAACACATAAGGAATTTACAATTTAAACATGGATTTTTCTCCAGCACAGTTCAGTCTTCTGTATGCCATGTGTCTGGGACACAGCTCAAACCTGATTTAACCCAAATGCAGTGAGGAGTATGTATAGTGGTAGGGAAACATCAGAGTGGACACTAACAGGGAATGAACCATGTCTCACACTCATAACATAGAAAGAGATGCTGAGCTAAGCCATGAAAGAGCAAAGTGACAGAAGAAGGAAGTTGGAAGCAAGATGAAGAAGTAGCAAGGAGGGAAGCAGTACCTTTGGCTGAGAAAAGGTGAAAAATCTCTGTCACAGAAGCTGCTGGTGTCTTAGGCTGATGGGTGCTCCAGTGGCCAGGTAGCATCTGAGGCCATCAGCTGGTTGTATCCAGGCATAAAGGACGTATCTTTGAGAGAGATGTTCAGTTGACCTGTTTTCTCTTTTTCACATCAAGACTGAAAGTGAATCTACCCCCTGGATGAGATGACCTTTCCAGAAATGCTCAGCAAGGCAGAGCTGTGGAAAGGTGCACACCAGGACTGGCTGCATTGCTGGCAGCCCATCATGGTTCAACATTTCTCCACTTGGTCAGGTGCTGCTCAAGTGCAAGGTGGACCTGCAAATCTTACAGCTTACTGCCACTAAAACAGCGTTAGAGTTTGCCCAGTTTTCACATGTGCATTTTTCCAGTATTTGTTGGGTTCATGGCTGGGCTTCGCAAACGAAGATTTGAGGAGGGCTCTACCCACGTTTGTTACAGGCGCACTGGTGGCTGAAAATGCCGATATGAGACAGGCATGTCCGATTTGTTGGGTTAATGTCTCTCTTTTAAATGTATTTGATCTTTGGATTTCCAGCTGTCCTGAAATTGGATGTGGGACTTCACAGTGATATCCTACTTTAAGTGGTGTCCTTTTGATACATCAGTGATGACATAAGGAATATTTCTACCCCAGGAGTGGTGGTGGGTTGGCCGTCAGTCCTTAGCACATTCCTGTTCAACCTGGGGCTGGCTGGTTGTTTCCTAACAGAAAAGTTAGAGCAGAAGTATTTTGTTGGAATTTGCTCTTGAAAGTCAACTGCAATGGTAACGGATCCTCTGAAGCATTTCAGGGTGTCTGTTGCTCTACCATCTCACAACCTGTTGCCCAAATATCACCCATTTCAGGCATCTTCATTCTGGTTTCCCTACTGTCAAGAGAGTTGTATCCTTCACATAAATGCCCAGCTGATCTGGAAATCATAACCCAGGCAGATGTTCAGCTCTCTGTGATTTCTTCTTTTCAAGTAAATAACATTGTTTGCATATGAAAGAGTAGTGTCTGCTTAAGTCTTCTCTCCCAAAACTACATGGTTTTTCATCTGTAGCAATTGATGTGGTGGCAGCTGAAGTTTCTTTAGTTGCATTTATGATTTGTCTCTTTAAAAAAATGCTAATTTAAAAAAAAATTGTAACAAAAAATCAAGTTACCGGTATTCCTTTAAAATATATATTGCTGGCAGTCAGATGGAAATACCTGATTTTATACCTATTCCTCAAAATGTGTAATTTCCACATGGTCCTTGGAATAGAGACACTTTTTTTTCAGTAGTTAGTTAGAAATGCTGCCTTCTTCTTAAATGTGTAGGAAAGAAAATACATGCCTCCTTTCCTTACAACTTCACTTGACCTTGGCACACTCCATAGACATTACTGATTACACACAAAGTGTGCAGCAGATAGTTAGTTCATCAAGGCTGTGAGGACTAACTTCCATCTGACCTTAAATCCCTGGATGCAGCATCTTTAGCTCAAAGTCCTGCTGCTGCAGCTCTTTTTGTACTGTGTGATGTTCATGTGAATGGTCTCGTTGGTTTTGGTATCACCACTTGTGTAGTAAAGACTGGTTGTTGGACGTAAATCTGTAAATTCAAGGCAAGCGTGTAAATTCAGGAATGTTTTGCTGATTATTCTTCGTAAGACCAGGCTTGAGAAAAAAACATGTTTCTGAATTTAAAACTTTCCTCAAAGATCTTGATAAATTAACAGGGATGAAGCTTTTTTATCTTAATTGTACATTTGTCAGCTTTTCCTAAGACAGTACTTGCTGTGTTTATATTGAGATGTCACCTATTTCCTTAAAAATTCTTCAATACAAAGTTTATTTTCTTTTTCAGGTGTTCAAATGAAACAGTGTTCAAAAAGGAAGATTTGTTTTGGGCATATAATTTCTGCCCCACTCCATACTCTTGGACAGCACTTCTGGGCCTTATTTTGTACTTGATTTTCTTTGCACCTGGTAAGCAAACATTTGTTTTCACATGTAAGTTATGAAATTGTAAAATATCAAATAGTGAGGCTACATGTCAAATTTACTTTTGAGTCTAGCCATTAGACTGAGATTGATCTTTTTTCCCTAATTCTTAGGGATGGGTCCTATGCCCTGGACTGTCAATTCTGAAATTTATCCACTTTGGGCTAGAAGTACAGGAAACGCATGTTCTTCTGGAGTCAACTGGGTTTTCAATGTGCTCGTGTCACTGACATTTCTGCATACAGCTGAATATCTGACATACTATGGTAAGTAACAGTATGTGTTCATATGTGTAATACTGCCACTGGCACAGAGATTTTCTACAGATTTTGGGTCCCTCAGTTGGTTTTGCTATGAAATGTCAACTGTGAATGCAGTGTTCTCAACCCACTGTGGTTCAGTAAGACTGGAGATCTGATACAACCTGCCTGGATTATAGACTTTGGCCCAGATTTCATAAAAAACATTTATTTCTGTCCTTAACCGAGAACCTAGACATTTGGTTAAAACAGAGAAGCTGGAAAAAATCCCACTTCTGACTTAGTGAAATATGCTGATTCCCACAGGATCTGCAGTTTTTCAGTTCGTGGTGACATCCAAGGCCAATTTCAGATGGTCCTTGCAGAAATATAGGTGTTGATTAAGTCCTGTCTGCGGGAGCCTGTGGAGTGTTTGTCAGGTTACTGCTCAGCCACTCCAGCACAAGTCATTTAAATTACATTAAGCTGCCAGGCAGCTGATGTGACCTTCACATCATTACTAGTACAGAGCCTTTCAGCTCTACTTGTTATTTCTTTGAGCCATCAGTCTAGCAACACATGGCAGGTAAATGTTTGTTGGTCCTTTGGTACCTTCTCTGCCCCTCTAGGTATAATGGATCGTGGGTGGGAATGAGCTCTTTCTCAATATTAATTGTCTCTACAGAGGACTTTTAAATTATAATGAGGTGTAAGAGTTGCGAGCGTTATTTTAATCCTGACTCATTCTTTTGCTAGAGTTTCTCATTTTGAGGAGTTGTTTTAATGTGTCCTTCACTGTCAAGATAAACTAAGAAAGCTCTTGCCTTCCACATATGATTTTTTTATTTGGGCGTGTGATTGTCTAATTGCTGTTTATTTTAACAGCAGAGTGACTTGCCCAGAAAGGATGTGCATTATTATCTTTGGCATGAATTGAAATTTTCTTTTTTAATTTACTTTGCTGCAGAATGGTGCAATAAAGTGTCCTGCTTCTACACCCACAGCCCTGCAGCTCGTTGTTATAATCCTGTCCCTCCAGCCTTTGCTTTTACACACTCTTTGATTCCCAACCTCCTGCTTCTGTCGCTCCCTCTGCTCAGACACAGAACGGGTGGGAACCTTTGTAACTGTGCCAATTGTTTTACGTTGCAGGAGCCTTCTTCCTCTATGCAGGGTTTGCTGCCTTGGGACTAATCTTCATCTACGGCTGCCTTCCTGAGACTAAAGGGAAAAAACTAGAGGAAATTGAATCTTTGTTTGAAAACAGGCTATGTACATGTGGTATGTCAGATTCTGATGAAGGGAGGTATATCGAGTATATTCGGGTGAAGGGAAGTAATTACCATCTTTCTGACAATGATGCTTCTGATGTGGAATAATTTTCAGCTGCTGATGTATTTAATCATTTAAAAGCCTTCTGGGGGGGAAAGCAGCTCTCTGATGACCTCACTGCCCTGCTTCTGGTCTGGTTCTCCTTTCTACTGTGCAGTTAAAAATGCCTTCATGTTCAAAAATGCTCCATTTGGAGGAAATTCAATATGCTAGTGTTTTCTTGATAACTAAAAGCAATGGCTTCCAAAAGAGGTTGAATTTCACAGTTATGTGACTTTACCAAGTGTGCACAACGCTGCGCCGTCCCCAGGTATTTAGTAGGGTACACTGTACCAGATGAATACAGAAGGCTATCCTAGATGGTCAGGGGCTGTCCTTATCTTTAGTCCTGACAAGATAAAGTAATTGAGTAGCTAATCAGAAAGCAGCTGACAGCTGTCAGATCCCCATCCCATTGCAGCCTAGGACATAGCTCTGCTGTGCAGTACAACGAAGGATGAATGCATAAGTTGCTGTAACAGTAACCATTTCAAAAGGTTGACCAATTGGGAAAATACAAATATCTGTTATATCCATCAGAGGCAACATTTCCCAAATTTACCCTAAGTGAATTTCCGTTGTTATTTATTTGAGGTAACAAGCAGACAGCCATATTCACCTGGATGGAGGTTCAGTAGGCTGGCATGTGTCCGTGCTACACTGGGCTATCGACCCACTGCTGCTCTTGAGTACACACTATGGTCAGGAGTTTGTGTTTGTGAGAGAAACCGCCAAAATTAACTACTGACAGCAGGAAATCAGAGCTCAGTATGTGGCCACACGTACAAATGAACTGGTATATATTACTAGGTACAACACAGAGGCATCAGTTAGAAAAAAATTATGTTTGTTTTCCTTTTTTGCATTTGAACATACTGGCTTGTACCTAGTTTTGAACATAAAATATTGTTAGCTAAAGGAAAGAGAAGGAGGGGAGAGGGTTTGTGCTGCTAAATGCACAGTGGTCATCCCTCCCGCGCCTTCTGCTTGTGAATAAATATTGCCTTCAGTTTATCTCCATATGTGCAGAGCAGATGACTCCCAGCACACTTTTCCTTCAGATGTCCTTAGTCAACCGGTGTCTTGCTAGATCTAAAGAGAAATATTAGCAATGGGCAGAAGCCTATATCTCATATTAATTGCCTTACCAAAGCATTGCAAACTTGTCAAGAAAATGTCAGGCACAAAAATCAACTTGGCTGCTTTTAGCATGGTAATGAAAATCTGAATGGTGTTTTATTTGCCTGCCATGATTGCTTACCTTGGCAAATTGAATTTTATGCAGCTACATAAAAATATTATGTTATTTTTTTCCTTGTCCTGTCCTCCTTGCTTTAAGTTATCAAAGATATGAGTTTGAAAGCATCAACAATTCAAATTCTTATCTTTGAAACATTTGCTTTATGAAAGAACGTGGAAAAAATTCCTCTGCCTGTGGGCTGCCGCCCATTTATTTGGTAAAAATACATTTATTTTTCCTTGTGTAAAGACTAAAGAAGTCATTGGGTTCATTAGCTTTTATAGATTTGATTTGTGGGGTTTTCTTGGGTTGAAAAATATTTTTAATGTAGGATTACTATCAAGACCAAGCCTGGACATTTGTTACTAAATTATTTTTATTGGATAACATGGATTTTTGTTGTTGTAAAGAAGTCTGACTTTATGTTATCTAATCTTCTGTGGGGGAGTTCCTACTCTACAGTTATTGACCTTCAGGGATTGGGTGTATTTTGTTTTGTTTTCTTTTTTACTTCGTTAATCAAAGAAATATTTTTTGAAAGAAAACATTTTAAAGCATCCTTCTGTGACTTGCCTGGGACTAAAAGAGGAAAACAGTGGACAAAGGGAATTTCAAACGAATCATTGCAAAGAGCAACTCGACCTTGAACGTCTCCTGTGTGGTGAGAGGGCTGGATTCTCACACCTTCCATCTTGCCTCCCTTTTAAGCGCACAATATTTTTATGCTTCAAAGCACCAGCTGTTGAAAATGCTCAGATCTCCAGACCTGTCCATTGAACATGCTCAGGTCCTCAGACCTATCTGCAATTGCCCCTGCAGCGGGATGGCTCCGTTAGGCTGTCACCTCTCTGAAACCTTCGCTGAAGGTGCAGCACCTGAAAAGAGAAAAAGGGATCCTTGGCACAGACAAGAACAAAATCATTTTAAAGACAAATTAGTTTCTTTCTGAAGCCAAAAAAATATGTGTTTGAAGACCCTTATTCGGGGCAGTTTCGTTACCTAGAACAGTGTGTGAATAGGTGTATAACAGCCAACCTGTGCTTAGGTGGTTGATAGGTTTAAGTGGGTATTTAAGTGGGTATTTATTTACTGGCTTTTGAGGATAGGGACTTACAGTTCTGATCCCCTCACAAGCACGAGGCCATGCTCACTTTACACCTGTGAACATTGCCTTGCTTGATGTGTTTTGCTGGAGCAGGTGCGAGGCAGGACCCGGCGTCCCTGTGGTGGCCCCGAGTCAGTGCTGCCCTCGCACTTGTGCCCACAGGGAGAGGAAACCGCTGCAGTTACTGGGCATAGCTAAAGCAAAGTCACTGGAAAGATTGCAGTCACAAGGTCAGGCTGTTCTGTTTTGCAGGCAGTGCTGCGGCTTTTTAGCAGCAGAAGACCGTCTCTCTCTGCCAGCTTTGTTTCATGGACGTTTTCAGAAGTGGCGCTCAGTCGCACACAGCACTGGGCTCACTTTCTCACTCAAGTTTGATCTTACTGAAAACAGTTTTCTGCAGGTTTGTATCCCATGCCCTTTTTCATGAGGCATAACAATTGAAACGTGCAAAATATATTGCCTTCTTCATTGTCTTTCCCCCTTTCGTGCCCACAGAGAGCTGGGTTTAAGTCTTCCTTTTAGGGTTGCTTTACACCAAGACAGCATTCCATACTTCAGAAACACTGAGCCTAGTACCAAGCATCATGTGTAATAAAAATGAAATCAGACACTTCTAATTAGTCTTACACAGTTAGGGTTTTATTTTTAGAATCTGTGAACATTTACAGTTTATTAAGAAAATTAGATAAATGTTTCTATTTTGCAGATTTTTTATATTTATGCATATTTTAAGTTTTAAGAGATTTTTGCTAAAGGTAGACTTAGTAACATTCCAGATAAAAGAATAAAAATACAATGTAACTGAATAATTTCTTATTATAAGATTTTAATTTATGAAGTAGCATAAATAATATGTCTAAGCACAAAATTCTTTTATTGAAAGCTTTCTGCAGAAGATGTGAAATTGTTTCTTCATAAGGACTGCACACAGTTCAGGTATTCAGGTGCATCAGGAGTGCTAGAATGATACTGCTGGTAGAGTTGGGCATATTGATTATACACAACGATTTGAGATATTTTAATTCTGATTAATCTACCAACTCTACGTGTGAGCTAACAAGTATAAAAGAAACAAGTCCTGATGCATTTTTAATATTTTTAAATTTAAGTCACATATAGTAGTTGGTTCATCACATGGAAATTAAAAATTGTGGGGGGGTGAGGTAATTTGCCACTTGTTTCTTCCCCTTGGCACTTCATTGATCAAAATAATCTTTTAACAAGAGAACCAAACCTGTTTTGGAAATAGATGTAGAGTCAGAGCAAGGCCCAGGACTTGTTTGGAGGGCTGAAGTTGCATTGCTGTGCAGGCACCTTGGATAGGTCGCTCTCGTAGGCGTTGCTACCTTGTGAGTTGCAGTGACAACCCTGGCGGAAATTGTCCCGGAAATCCTGGGAAAAGAAAGAGTACATCACGAGGACCATTGTTCCAATGCCAACTGGTTTCTGCGTGAATTGATAAATGCAACATTTCACTCATGTAGGAGTTAGGGTTGGGAGGGGAGAAGAAAGAAATGATGCATGAAAAGCCCCACGAAGTCTTATTTCAGTAGATGGGTGTGACGTAGCCAACAGGAGCAGTCATTTGTCGTGGTTTATCCATGTGGGATAAGGATGGTGAGGCCAAGGGACTGTGCTTGGTCCTGTGGATAGGATCGGTCAGGCTGTCAGGCTAAGGGGGAAGAAGCACACAAGTGCTCCTCTCCCGTACCTACATGGAGGTGAGGACATGGCAATGGAATTGGCAAAGCTGATACTTGGTGAAATCTCCTCTGCCTCTTTAGTCACTCAGGCTGAGCACTGGGGAGAAGTTTTGAACTTCAGAGGCTGCTACAGGCCCTGAGCAAAGGTATTCCTTAGGCCATGGGGGTATTCGCTGCAGTCCCACAGACAGTGAGTGGGCTAATAAAAGATAGACCCTGCACTTCTCAGCTTTATACCCAGCTTTCTACTTCTCAACATCAGTGCTCTTCTAACATGGTCTTCTTGAAATTTTGCTTGTACTTGCAGAAGAGGCTTTGTTAGCTGAACATCACTACTGCAAAGAGGCAGAGTTTTCACAGGATAGAGAGATCTCGGGGTAGAAATCCAGGTAGAAGAGACAGTTTTTCAGAGCACTTTAAAGAGTAAGATATGTGTGCACTTTTTTCTGAGAGAGTCAAGCTAACCAAACCCATTCCTCTGCATTGGGAAGAAAATCAAGCTTTGTGTACCAGGCCAGAAGCAGATAATGCCACAATATGTGCTTTATGGCAAAATGTGTTTTTATTGCGGGTAACATTTACAGCTTACATGTAGCTGCTGCCTATAAAGTGACTCAGTTGTTCTCTGGATTTTAACAAGTCATATTTTTGTGCAAAAATCTTAGTGGTTTTCTATTGATCTTCATCACCTTGTGTACAGCACAGTTAAGCATAATCCACAAGTGGTCTAGATTGTGGCAGTGTTGCAAATGTCAGCACAGTAAAACTCTAGGTGAACATTGTTAAAGAAATATTGTTGTTTGTGATATGGGGTTTAAAACTCCTCAAAGGCAACTATATATAGATTTTAAAAGTCTGAAAAAAAAAATGGCAGTTCTTATCTATTTTGTGTATGTTTTCATATAGAGAAGGAGTTTTTTATGTGCCAATAACCATCACTGTAGTGTTTTGTAAATGGGTGTTAATAGTGTTGCAGAGTTCTGTATATGAGAATATACTTTAGCCACAATGACCTGTTAGTGTGAACCAGCGGCATGTTTTTAATCTTACTCACACCTCTCATCAGAGGTGCTCATTCACTGGCTTTAGTAGAGCTCACTCATGCCAGGGGAAGTTTGACGAGCGTCAGGCCTCAAGAATACAGACTTCATCTAAATCCCCACTTTTTCACATTGTCCCTAGACAGTATGTTACATGTGAATGATCTGGCACATGTAATTTTAAAGTTTCAACTCTGGTTCCTTGATTTTGTAGAGAAACGTTTTGTCAAAATTTGGTTTGACCTTTCATTGCATTTGTATAAATAAGGAGCGCGCTGATTAAGTATGAATATTGTCCACCTATTTCTAAAGGAACCATCTGTTTCTGAAGTGTTCAAATAAAGGCAAATTTCTCTTGCTGCCTTAAACATTGCACAGACTTTTGGGAGGACTGAATGTATGACCATCATCGTGACTTCTGCAGGAGAAACTTCATGGATCCCCAGCAGGTTTGAAACGAGATGGTTTCATGGTGCTGAGATGCTGCGTTACACTGCAGGCCCTGCCTAGTGCACTCCTGCCATCTGTTTGAGTAGTCCCCGTGAAATTGATAGGATTATTCACATGCTTGATATTCTCCATGTGCTCAGTGTCCTGCTGGTCCGGGACATCGCTGGGAAGTGGCACGAGTCATGTCCCTGCTTTCCGTTGTGAATCTCACTCCTCTACAAAATGGTTAACCGGATCTTTTTGTGACAAATGCCATGTAGAATATTTGAGACATTATTGGAGACTAAACTGACAGTAGTAATTCCATGCTGAATAATAACATGCACATGGTGCCATCAGGCACACTGTAATCCCTGGGCACGTGTTACGGTATTCAGTACAAAACAGGTTTTGGCAAAACTAATTGCTGAGTTGTCCAAGTCATTTCTTAACCATGTCAAACGTGTGCCATTTCCATTTCCAACCAGTCAAGCCTATAATGTATGAAAGTGTTGTACATTTTCTGAAACTTAAGTGATGTAAAATTATTTAATTGACTTCTGTTCTGATTGCTTTAATGAAAATAAATATCTTCAAAGAATTGTCAGTGCCAGAAGTGTAAATGAACAAAATAAAAGGTGAGATACTTAATTACAGAATCTTTCTCAAGGTTTCCTTTGTTTGGGTATTTGGGTCACCTTTTAGAGTTGCAGCATTGCACTGCTCAACAAAATGAGCTCAAATAGGCTATGGGCTTACCTGGTAAGAATAACTTCGAATATGATCTCAATAGGATGTATTTCAAATCAGAGAGCAGTTCTGTGATAATGGGTACACCAGGTAAGTGTTCCTTCCTTTCTGGAGAATTTGTTTGAAGAGCTGCATGCAGCTATGCAGAGGAGCCAACTGTCCCAATGTCCCCCTCTGGGTTTTTGATGTTCCCTGCCCAAACAGACCAGTTTCCTGACAGCAGTTTATGCCATCAGACTTGATAATTGACTGGGGAAAGAGCAGGAGTTGCTGTTTTCTAATGGGGAAATGTCCTAGCCTTGTGTTTTATTCAGAATCAGTTTGATGATTAGTCAAGAGCAGCATGACCATGGCCATGCTGTGCTGGGGGCTGCCCTGGCTGCGCTCCCCAGTGCGGCAGAGGAACAGCACCCACTGGACCAAATGGAAATTGGATCTGTTACCTCCACCTGCCACAGGTACCACGATCGAATCCTTGCGAGATCCAGAGTTGGCTCTGACAGAGGTGTAGCCTTTTGGTCCAGGATGCAGAAAGATCACAGCCAAGAGGAGATGCTGGCAGCAGGAGACTGCTCAGTATCTGTGTCGGCGCTTATCTTCAGGAGGTGAGCAAGGAAACTTGTCATTGTGCACCGACAGCTTCTGGTTTTAGCTTTCTGGCTGATAGTGCTTATAAAGGTGATGATATTACTTGTCACCAAAACCACATGGCAGCTTTGTGGGATAATGAAAATCTGGTGGCTCTGCTGTCAAACGCTCCATTTTTTTGCCTTCTCCCATTTCCCTCTGCACTAGTTACTATCGCAAAACAACTACTGATGGATTGATTTTTGCCAGATGCATTCTGCCATCTGTAGAACTGCACTGCAGGCAGTAACAGTACTTGCTCCAAACCTTTGTGATCATTTTCAGGATCAGACCCCGCAGATATCAGGGTTGGGTGGTGCTGCATCTGAACTAAAGTCATCCATACAGTGTTGCACAGCTTTTGCTTTATGCGTGGCACGAAGTTCTTGCTTTCAAGGCTGCTACAGTTTGTAGGAAGTAAGTGGGGAACTTAAAGTTAAGTGTCTCAGTTTAATGTAACTCTCCTTTTTTTTCTGATCTTGGTGGTTGCCTGCTGAGTTGTGCTGGGCTGGTCAGAGACCTGCCACTGATCATCCCCTGAGCTGGTGTCCCCTCCAGTCAGAGCTCCCTGTATGAATGCACTCAGGTGCTTCAAGCTGCTGCAGTTTCACTTCCAGCACATTCACTTGACCCAGAATGAATGGCATCTCAATTCTTTTCCTGATGGAGAGGTTAACACATTCAACCCGTCAGGCAACCGGCTGAAATCTGTGGGGAAACAGTCATGCACATTTGCCATAAGAAGTTCCACCAGTCACATCCTGGGGCTGTTTGTTAACTGGTCTCCATGGCAGGTTTTCACTTGTTTGTTTAATATGTGTGACCTACCTGGTACCCATGTGTGTGTGCACGTGTGTGTGTGTGTGTGTGATTAACTGAGAAGCTCTGCATAGACCTGAAGTTTGGAAAGCTTTTGCCTTTTGAGATTTAACTGCAGAACTACTAGAAGTATTTTCTGCATCTTAATTTTGACAGAAAAGTCCCAAGGGAAGTGTGGGCTTAGTTTGGTTAAATACTTTTATAGGAGATTTTGGGGTGTGGATTTCAGGAGGATACAAAGATCCATCTGTTCTGACGTGTGAGACCTTTGCCTTAGCTAGCACACTCGGATTTTGGGTACTGTGATATCCCTTGAAAGTTCAAATAGACTCCATAATGCCAAAAAGAAGAGAAGGGTGTCTTATATGGAGCAGTAAAATGTATATTGTACAACAGAAGGAAGAAAGAGGATCAAACATCCAAAATGACCTGCCCGCAGTCTTTTTACACATTAACCCTGTCACCACACAGCGAGGGGCTTAGGTGCATTTTATTGCAGGTAGAAAAGGGGGCAGGGAAATGAAAGGCTTCCAAGCAAGCTGTGTTCTATGGATCATTCTTCAGAAGATGGATTTGAATAAACAGATCCTCATAAGGGTGCAGGAGTTGTGCACGGTGTAAGGAGTGTAGAAGTTGCAGCACAGTGGTGCTGGGGAGCACATCCCTTGGGGGGAGCTCAGGTGTGAGAAGGAAAAATAAAGTCCCTCCACTTTCAGAAAAACATTCCAATGGGGATGTATCCATCCCCATTGGAAAGAGAGTTATTTAAATACCATTAAGGGTGGAGAAAGGGGGCTGAAGAGGTGGGGAGGGTCCATGCCTGAAGGATCAGTGAGGGTTTGGGGGCCCATCAGGGAGGTGGAGATACATGAGCAGTTTTAGGGCAGAGAGGGTTGGATTAGCTGAACTTCATAATCAAGGTGATATGCAGAACTGAGACTGCACCAGGTTGCCAAGGCAACATGGGCAGAAAGAGCAAGGAGCAAATCCTGAGGAGGGGCTGGAGGAAGGAAACAGGGCATAAGGTATGGAGGATGGTTAGTGAAGTGAGTGTGGGGACGTAGTACCTCTGCCACACCACCATGTGATGACAGGAGTTTCAAGCTGTCCTGGGTGGAGAGAAGCAAAGTCAGAAGATGGCACTGGGCTGAGGATGCAGCAGATTGAATGGTCTAAATCTCTCTCTAAAAGGTGGGGTTTTTTTTCAGGACTCAGATTCATAGGCTTAGTGTTCAATTTTGGGTTGTATTTTTTTACATTTCTTGGGTGCTGCATTGCACTTTGTTTGCTGCTTAATCTATCAAGAAGACATATATAGAGAGAATTAGCCTTGATTCCCATGACCAGCTCTCTGTTCCTGGCTGCATTTGCCGGTCCATGCATGGTGACAAGGCACAGGAACAAGGTGAGCCAAGCCCTGCTCTGCTGGCACATCCTGCCCTTTCTTTAAAGGGCATCCTCATGCTTAAGGACATTGCAGTGCATTTTGTTTAAATGGACACAGTTGCTGGTTTTTTGTTTGTAGTCTCTGCCAGTGTTGCTCCTCACAATGTCCCTGATTTTGTGTTACTGGCATGGTTCATCATTGCCCCCAGATTCCTAACGAAAGGGTCCCCAGTCTCCTGAGGAAGAGGTCCCCACCAGGAGCCCCATGCTGCAGTGGCCGTGTGTGCCCTGAGGGAGCAGCACAGTGAACCTCCTGGAGCATGAAGCAACATCCCAGCAGAGTCACACAGGCCCCAGCATGGCAAAAAACTGAGGAGAGAGGCATGGACTGAGCTGGTTCAGACTCCACCAGGCAAAGCATGAAGGGTGGGTTTTGAACAGGCAGCTGTAGCACAGCTAACCAGCTTTTGGTTTAGTGCCATTCCCCAAAACTAGGGGGAGGGTTTGTATTACAGTGCTCAGGGCTGATGCTGCCCCACCTGATCTGTTGTACACGTGTCTCTGGTCCCCTTGGACAGTGCTGTGGCATTTTCAGCCTTCCCAGCCCCGCAGTTTTTTCTTCTCAAAGCCATTTCCACAGCTGAGGCTGATGAGACCCTATGTCCCCAGCCAGCTGTCACCAAATCCTGTGTACAGTTTTTCTGCCTGAAGCCTTCATTCAGGGTCACTTAGCATAGCTGTCGTTGCAAAGGGAGGTTGTTGGCAGTCAGGTAACGTGCCATCCTGCGAATGCCAAATGATTTCTCTATCCCTAAAGTGGCAGTTGTGGCCTGCAGCAGGTGGCCAGGTCCCCACTGGGAAGTGGTGCCTTAGAGTAAGCATTGCTGTGAAATTGATGCTTATTTTAATATATTCATGGGGAGATGGCATCAAACCCTGTCTGACTGCTCCCAAGGAGCTCCTTCATGTCCAAGATGTCTGATGTGAGTGTGCCCTGTAGGACCGTCACAAGATGTGACTGCAGTCAGAGTCAGTCCGGTGTTATGTGGCTGGGCGAGAGGGTGAACATTTACTGCTCAGCTCACAGAGTCAGGAGACCTAGCTGGAGTTCGACATCACCAGCCCTGGAGAAGCAACTCCTGATTTGGGTGACTGGGACTGTCACCTCTAACCCACCAGAGGCTGTCAGTGAGAAGAGGCTGAAAAAGTGTTGCAGAAGGATTCGCTTTAGTGGGGACAGATTAGGCACTTTATGCAGAGAGTTGGTAATATTTTTTCCAGGAAACCTCATTCTTCCTCAGTCTGCTAAAACCCTTAAAAAGCCAATTCACAAGCAGTTTCTATCAGAGAAACAATCACTTGTATGAGGACTTAAGCCTCTCATTTCCTGTAATCCTTCATGAAATTCTGCAAAGCCTCTGTGGAGGCTCTTGGCATAACATCCAGCAATAAACTGCCCATTAATGAAACAAACTTCTGTTGGTGCTTGCCCAGAAACCTTACCTTGCAGGTTACTGTAATTAGAGTTGATTTCAGAGGGAAAAAAAAGTTACCAGCTGCATATTAAAACTGATTCTGACTGAAGCTTATGGTAGCACTTTCGGTAAGAGAGTCTTTCTTTCAATCTGTATTTAGAAGCATTTGAGTACCACTAATAAAAAAGTGCTCCTGGTTTTTGGTTAATTACAGGTACCCTTCTGTCCTTCTCCTCAACAAGAATACTCTACTTACAATTGATGCTTACCAAAAACAGTTAACAACATGTATATTTCCATGGCCTCCCTGGAGGCTTAGCACACTGCCAGGAAGAATAATGTGGATGAGAAAGGACCATCTCTGCCTATGCTGGTGCCTCAGAGAAGGCTGGTGGTGCCTGAATGTATATAGTGAGATGACAGTCATTACTGTAGGTTACAAATATTGGTGGATTAATAGCATCAGATGCTGAATTATTAGCTGAAGAAAGCATGATTTGAGGCTACTACTTCCTATTAAATCAAACTCAGCTCTTCCCAGAAATAACAAAAAAATCAGGGGAAAGAAAGCACCTGAGCAGAGGGGGAGACTGGTGCTGAGCTAAGGAGAAAGCAGGAGTCTCTTTTAATGCAATAATAGTAACATAAATACTTTAAAATACTTCTCTAGTAGCTAAAAAGAGCACACTGCTTTACTTGTCACCATTGCCAGCACACAAACCAGTCACAAAAATAGTTTTCTTCTTCTGATTGCTTTGCAATTACAGGTAAAAATTGTAAAGTAATTGAATTTCATACAGTCTCATCCAAAGACTTTGAAACATGATTATCTACGGTGATTGACATATCCCAAGTGGTGAATTATTGCACTAGAGACATGTGTGCAGCTCTTACATACAGCCAGTCAGGAGGTGTGTGTCTGGCTCGAGCAGCGGAATTTTAGTCCTTACTGAGAAATGGTGCAGTCTAGGCTGGAACCTGGCTGGAACCAGACAAGTTGTGGGAGCTTCTATGCTAGTGGCTGAAGTGAAAATAAGCAATACCCATGAAAAGGCTCTAAGTGATGATAAATATGAGAGGTAACTCAATAAAGAGCATTTGAAACCCCCCCCACATACATCCATATGGTGCAACCAGCTCTCTTTTCCTGGTTCCAACCTGCATTCTTTGTCCTGTAGGTTCACAGAAGCAGACTGGGAGTGTGCCTGCTCACAGATCAGTTCTGCAGATCAGGAGTATCTGCCTGAACTTGAGTAGCTCGCTCCACTGTAAAACAAACCACAATTTAGAAGTCCCAGCAAAAATGCCACTGTCACAGAAATCAGGAGTGTAACTTCCATTGTGGGTTAACGGCAGTTCACTTCCATTTGGGTCACTTCAGTACCTCACTAACACAAACACCAAAGAACTCTCTGACCATGAGGCAATTTTTGCATCTGCTGGGATAATAAAAACCCTCAAGTCTAAAGCACACAGTGCTGGAGCTTTTAGCTGTAATGTGCCACCCACTGGCCTCTGCCATAGTGTATTGCAGGAGGCTGACAGACCAAGGGCGATGGAGCAGCGTCAGCCATGGGGGAGGCTGTGACATCAGACAGGCACCACTGGAAAGGCTGGCAGGTACATACCGGGACACTGCTGGGAAGGCAGAGATGTCCTAATTTGAGTCAGCGTGGGCCATTGCTGGTGTGGCATAATCTCAACCGGCTTTGTCACACTGAGTGAACAACTGTGCCTTAGAAACCACTGGTAACAGCTGAGCTTTCAGCAAATCACAGCTGTTACTCAAATAAATTATAGCTCCTGTGGAGATGAATATTGCAGCTTAAAAAATAAATACTAGGGAGTTTGCTTTGACATTAAATTGAGGCAACCTAAAAAGAAAATCTGCTTATGTCAAACCTTAGGGAGTGGGCAGTGAATTGCCTAAACAATAGTTACATGTTTCAGAAGTTGGGCTGTGCAAACCACTTCCCATGGATGCAATTTATACATATAGAAGACAAATCTATGTTCTTCTAAGTACAGAAAAATCCACTGAAATATCTGAGGTGCTATTTTTAAAATAGCATAGCTATAAACCTCAAGCTGTTGAGCAATATAGACCTTGTAAAAATGGCTCTTAGCTTCAAGAATAAAACCCAGCAGCAAACACAACCGCTAGTTTGATGATGAGAGCAGGGAGAAAGGATGGTGACAAGTCTCATCCAGGCTGGGTGAGACACGCCCCTTCTACAAAACATAGAAATAAAAAAAAAAATGACATTGTGGGAATAAGGGCAGTGAATCTTTTAACTGCAGACTCCAAGGGGAAAGCACAATATATTAATCTTAGAGAAGCAAATCTCCTGCTCTGTTTCGGGAACAGTCTCCAGCATAGCTTTTGCCCAAGCCCAGTTTGTAAGGAGGAGGATCCCTGCACACGGCCAGCTGGATAATGCCAGTGCACACACACACACAGTTTTTTATACATATGCATACATACATACATTTTTATGAGATATACAGAGAGAGATATCTGTAGAAGTAAAGGTGTATGGATCTATAAGTAGATGTCAATGACAGAATGAGTCACCCTACCACCTTGACTAGGAACCTTTTAGAAGGAAATACTATAACCTAGAAGCAATATTATCAGAAACTTTTATTTTGTTGTGATTTGTGACTTCACATAAATACTGAAGAGGAAAGTAGTTCAAATTTTTAATTTGCAGACAGAATACAGAAACACATGAAAGATTTGTTAGTATTAACAGCCAGAGAGTGTATCAATAGATCTCCTGTGGAAGGAAAACTCAGCATTTTTTTAAAATAATAAATTAGTTCTTTTTAAATTACATTCTATTCTATGTGTGCAGATGTACATTTTCTGTTGTTTTCCATTTTTGTATTTAGTATGAACACACAGAAAAGGCGAGTTTGTCTGTTAAAATGGATAAGAACCAGAAAATAGCTCTGAACTAGGACCCACATCAAAAATGTTTTGAAGTGAAACAGCATCTTTCTACTACGTTAAAAGAAGCAAAGTCAATCCCAAACTACAGAATCCTATGGATATATGGTGAGAAAGCCAATCTAATTCCTGATGCTTATATTTACTAGGGTATTGTAAAATCATGTGTTAACAGTTGGATATTTATAGAAACCCATATTTAGAGATACCAGTAGTTAGACAGAAATCCACAGGTATTAATAGTTTAAAGCAAACAAACAGCAAAAATATTTTTTGTCCAACCAGACTAGAAAAATCAAAACATGCCAAGTGAATGAAACACACTGAGAACAGAACAAAACTTCTGTGTTCCCCCCATGCCATTCTAGTTGGTCACTGCTTATCTCTCTCCTTCATTTTATCAATGTAGTTCAGCACCTCCAGAGTCCTTTTGCCAGCCAGACTCAGGTACTCGGCTTCAGAAGGAAGGGCAGCAGTCCCGGCCGCGCTGCCGGCGCCCGCGGGCTCCGGGATCTCCTGCGCTGGCAGTTCGTCTTTTCCCGCGGTGCCGGCGGTGCGGGGAGGAGGGACCCCGACTGGGCTGCGGGCTGCGGGCAGGGAGCCCCCACAGTTGCACACCCGCAGGGTGCCACACTGAGTGGCCACATCCGTCTTCTCTACTTCTGTCACAGAGCGGTCAGTCTGCGACCAAACATCACACCTGGTGCTGCGAGTGACGTGCTCTCTCTTAAGGGCTCGGTGTGCTGAGCTGCCCTCGGATGGGGCAGCATGGTTTTTATTTTTGTCCTCTATGGTGCAAAAAATTAAGCCTTTATCCTGAAGAATGTTTGCTTCTTCTCTAGCCAAATTACTGCTGGGCTGGAGAAGCACAGTTCTGGTGTGGAAGCTCTTGGGGGCCTCTCTGCTTGCTGAGAGATTGGCATCATGTGTCTTCAAAGACTGTTCATTCAGATATTCTGTCTTTTTGGCTGTGTCTTCCTCTTCACACTGTTTGAATAGAATTGTGCAATTGCAGCTGTTTAAATAGTTCAATAACTAAGGACTAAGTTAATGACTAACTAATAACTAAGTTAGTCAAATAAACAGAAAGGCCAGAGCTGCCTGGTTTAGGTTGTTTGTGCTTTTTTTCATTCTTTTCCCAAGGATGTACTCCTGGCTTTCGGTGCCAATGCAGACCTTCACGCTCACGTGCAATTTATACTCACACACCATGATGTTTTTGTGTTCAAGAATGGCTGAAAACACCGTGTGTCAAATCCTTCTGCTTTACAGGCATGTAATGTAAGGCAGCTATACACAAAGGAAGAGCATCTTCCCACAGTCATGCTACTGTAATTCCACACGGCCAGGCATTATCAACAGAACAGACCACATGTCTGTTAAACTACTTAGGAAAATTTACAGCTAATAATTTCTTGTCCTCCTCACACATGAATTTGCCTTGTACAAGGCAAAACCATAAGTAAGATTCCAGCTACATCCACCCTTAGATGCCCTCAGGCATGGAGATGTGATTTGAATGAAGCCCTGCCAACCCTCAAAGGTTGTGGGGTGTACTCACTGTGTCAGGACTACAGCTCAAATAGCTCTCGGTCTGCCTTGGAGAGTAACTGTAAGACTGGCTGCTGAGTGGTGACTCCATATCTTGAAAAATAGATGAAAAAGAAAGGCTACTCACCAGAAACTCCCCAAATATCCAGTTCTCAAGTACAGCATGTAGAATTAAACATTATTATTTCCGATGCAGTTTTAAGATACTGTTTAAAGAATAAAATGTTAGCAAGTTCAATCTAGGCAATCTAAGGCAGTAGCCAGTTCTCCTCTCAGGAAAACATATCTTAGCAGAAGTTGTGAGACAGGTGTCCCAAAGCTTCAGCTGTGCTGTTAATCAGCAGCTGCACCAGCAGCAGAACTGTGCTACTCAAAGCAAGAAGGACTCTGCAGAGCGAGGGCTGTGAGAGAACACAGCAGACTCCATGTGCACACTGGCTGCCATACAAGTTACATGCTTTTTTCTTGGAGGCCCATGAGAGATCTTCTGCTCTGAAATGCAGCCAGCACAGCTGACCCTACAGCTACAGCTACTGAGGGAGCTGACTCCCCTTCCTCTGTCCACATGTGGAATGACAGCATATAGTCTAATGGAAGAGAATCTCTCTTCAAGGAAAAGCAAACACAGATGGTTCTTAGCTACCTGGTAATGCTACTTGTCTTTTTACAGTGCTGTATGAATCAGAAAAACAAGCCCTCAACAAATGTAACATCCCAAAAAGATCATTCTCCCTGGCTTTAAAAGTAACTGTTTCAATTTCACATGTGGAGAAAAAAAAAGTAATAATATATAAATAGTACTAACTTTTCTCCATCTCATGAAGATTTGAACTTGCTCCAAACTTAGACTCTTTCTCTCGTGCTATTGTAAACTGTAAAAAATAATGAAGTGTTAATAGTGAGGGTTCAGTTGGATCAGCACCTCGGGTTAAGAGGAACATTCAGTTTCTATATTACATAAAGGAGCCACTGCACTGTACCACAAATTATTTTAAGAGGTATTTGTACCCTGAGCAGAACCATATGTACCTGGGTGACTTCTACAGGCAAAACATCTAACAGACTATGTGCCAGTATATGTATACTGGCACAAAACTCCTTTACAATACTGAAGCATCCTGCATATAATGTCTGGGCACTGCCTGCAGAATTTGATCCTAAGGGTTGATGGGTAACTTACACAATGTATTTCAGGCATCAGCTGAGGTGTGAATCAAAGCACATGAACTGTGGACCTGAAAGGGCTGTCTATCTGAACCACTTCACTAGAAGCAGTTCTTTCTGAACTCCTTTTATAAACAATGATGGCAAAGAAGCTTCCACAGAAGTTAATTCAGTGAAGCTATATTCAGTTTCTAACTGTCGTGGATATTCCTTCTCTGCCTCAAAGTATCTTTGACAAAAAATGTCTCTTTAAAAAGTTACCTCTTCAAATCCAAAGAGCTGGTTCTGTCTCCAGGCTGTTTCTTTCATGGACTCGTCATCCCTGAGGAATGCAAACACAAAGTTCTCTTGTAAGTGATTTTTCCCTCCTGCATTTTTATTTTCTTTCTGAGTTAAAGTCCTCACTTGTGACTTTTCTGTCTTCAACTTTTATTTTTCCTTCAGTAACCATAAAATGCTTTCCACTATTGATATGACTGAACTTATTTCTGAACTGAGATTTTACACCAAGAATCTGTTTCTCATAAACTTCATTTCTGTTGAAATGCAAAATGGAATTGGAGAGATGGCAGAAGATAGTGCTGTTTTGTAAAATGGAAGATATTATGGATCGGAGGCTTTGAAAAACATGTCTTTTGTAAAATATGGGGCATTCACATGTGCTTACTTTAGCCCAGGGAAGATACTAATTTCCTCTGCGGCCAGTGGAATGTGGCAGAGTCTTTTAGGGGGCAAGCCAAAGCAAGACCTTAATTTCAGGAACTCAGAACTGTCCCATGAAGCAGTATTTCTCTGTACTTATTATAGGCAGATGAGCAAAGGTATAAGGGGCTTACCTGTGCATAAGTTTATTCACATTATACACTACTATTTTCACTGGGAAAACTTGACTCCTCAGTAATACTGTTTAGAATTTTACCTTCCTGTCCTCTTGGCAGGATTTCTCCAATTCAGCAAGGTCTCTGCAGTTATCAATAGTTAATAATTTGATAATTTCCATGGCACTCACCTTTTTTTTCTTGAATAATTCTGCACATTCTCCTTTAAGTTAATCTGCTGATCATGGTGATAAGCAAATGTCTCTAAAATAAAAAAAAAAAATAAACCTTGATTTTAAAATGTAATACAATAAATGCAATTTGAAAACAAAGCTTTCTGTCAAGTTTTTAAAATAAATAATTGGATTTAAAATTAAGTGATTGCAATCAGAAAATTCATGGTATGTTTTCAGTCAGGGCAGATACATTTCTGGTTATAAGACTATATATCTTTAAAAGGAGAATAAAACCCAGAATACATGTCCTTTAAATCTTGATACGTACCAATTTTTTCAAGGTTTGCATGTTTTTCTTTCTTTTCACAGGGTATGAAGTAGTGCTGTCCTCCATTAAAGTTCTGCAGGTCGGTTTTATGAAGTCCACTGGTTTCCTTGTAGCTTGCACTTGAGTCATTGTTACTTTTAAGAAAAACGAGTTCTGGAGTTGTGAAAATGCCTTCAAGGTGTCTGTCTACAGAACTTTTTTTTTTATTGATTGCAGGATAAGCCTTTCTAGTGTTGTAAGGATAATTTCTGTCAGTCATTTGATTTCTAACGTCAGAATGGATGAAAAAAATGTCAGTACTGCTTTGGTTAACAAAAAGATTAAAATGTTTTGTGGAAGGATTATTGTGGATTGGTTGGCTCTCATCTTCAAACAGGGCCAGAAAGGAACAACCACTTCCAACTTGGGGAGCTTTCAGTTCTGCAGTTTCCTTCACAAAATCAAATACCGGTGCTTTTATTCCCTCACAGTTTTCTGATTCGTTACTGGTCATTATGACTGGATTTTTCCTGGCAGAATTCATAGGGTCTAGCCTGGGGGTGGGGGGTGAAGAGGAGTGGGGGTAGAAAAGAAAAAAAACATTTTGCTTAGTATGCAAAGAAGCAAAATACTGACTGCTAACACAACACTTTATAACTTGATGATAAAAATCTCAAAGACTTCACTACTCATCACACTTGTTTTTGTCCTAAATGAGCATTATTTCACCTGAAAAATTATGTATTCTACTGTATTTAGTTTTTACTTTATAGTAAGATTGGTTTAAAAGGGGGTCTGTTTCATAATATCTCCAAATATACCAAGCCATGGAGCTTGGTATCACACCCTCCAGGGTGTGATTTATAAAAGCAGCCACAGTATGTCACTGCTGCTCCACCAGCTGACCAAAGGCAGCAACTTTGGGGAGGGGATTAAAAAACCAAAAAACGAGGAAGATAGTTTCCTCTATTCATAAAAGTAGTTTGTTCCTCAAGATTACTGTCCTCTTGGGTACTGAAAAGCCTAATAAGCTCTGTGTACTGCTTTATTCCTGGTCTCTCTAGCAAGTGACTTCCATTTGTACTTGAGATCAGTAATCCTGATTCAGCACAGAACTCCTCTATTGCACTGTCAGGTGGCCAGTCAGACATTTTATTTTGGCCAGACTTCCCTACCCCACTTCTGAGAGTAGTGATTTTGAAGATGTTATCATGCAAACATCAGGGGCTTGAAGGTTATCATGCTTTCACTTACTTAGCTCTTAATCTAACATTTTCACTGTATTTTTTCCAGGCCGGATCTGCTGATCTGACCTTTCAGAAACTCTGAGCAAAAAGTTAAGAGTCTTCAGAAGCACAGAGAATTGGCAAAGAAGGACATTCAAAAAATGACCTTTCTTTAAAATGTTTTGAGCAATGCTGTCAATGGAACTTGAAAACTGAAATGTAGTACAGAAAACTTCTGTGGTGTTCTGTTCAGCAAATACTTGGAACTGGATAAAGATTCTACAGTACTTCTATGAAGTAGTTTCCTCTGCTTACAGAAGCCTCCTCAGAACAGTTTTAAAAGGCTAACCACACTAGACTTTGTTCCTGGAGAAATTTGGACAGATATATGTGAGGAAGGTAAAACTGTTTTGTGAACCAATTCAGAGGGTTCTTCTTAATTCCAGCTGAACATTTTTTAATGCAAAGTAAAAGTTAAGAGTAGATGAGAAGATAAGACATATAAAATTTTTAGTTAATATTTAATGCCACACCTCTCAGAATTACGCACATTGATTACATCATCAGTATGTTACATTAAACAATTGTATAAATTTACACTCTACTTTTCACAGTTAAAGAAACTCCCTTCACAAAAGAACTTCCATCTCTTGAGGTATAAGAATTTATGGCTACAATGGATGAAAACAAAACAAGGACAATATAAAGAAATGGATTTGAAGAACAGTTGGAAAGGAGATGTTTTTAGTGAGCCATAAATGGGCAGAAGACAACAGGAGGTGCCATAAGCAGATGAGTGCAGGCCTGACGGCCGGGGGAGAAATGAAAGGGGAGGTGTAGATGCAATAAGGTTATGTAGGGCTTTAATGTAAAGATATTAATGAGGAATTGTCCCAGATATACAGCAAGGTGAATGCTATCCTCATTTTAGGTTTTGCTGGAGAAAACCAGGAGAAGCTACAAGAAGAGAGAAAGATAAGGTGGCTGAGAGGAAGCTAATGTGCCTGGTTATCGTGTGACCAGTGAGATTATCAGTCACTTAAGTCCCCAAGCAAACAGGCTGTAGGTACTTCAGGAACAGCAAAATATTATATGGTCTTTTTATGGCTCTATCCAGCCAAAGCTAGACACTGACAGGAACTTTCAACCAGATGGCAGACTCATAGAATAAAACGAGTAAAGAAAGATTAGCTGTGTACAACCCCTAGATCCAAGGGAAGAGTCCCTGGAAAGAAAATTACATAAAATGTTCAGTACAAATGAGTCTGGCCCTAAACCATCTATGATTAGAAATATTTTTAATCAGCACATACAAAAAGAAATATATTCTTGAGTTCTAACCATTCTTTAAAAAACAAAGAGCATATTCCCATAAAAGTATTATTGAAAAAATTATAGGGGAAAAGAGCTATAGTAGGATCACATATGAAAGAGCAGGAAAGAAAATGCTTTGTTCATGGAATTCCAAGTATAAACAAGTAGGTGGAGTTGCTCAACTGCTACTGCATCAAGGTCATCAGAAAAGCACTTGCAACAGTGACCAGAACTAATGAGACCTGAGGCAGCTTCACTCTCCTTGTGGCTTAGTAAATCTGAGCTATCGTTCAAGGTGAACACTATCATGTTTGTGATATTGAAAAAATATTGAAAAAATAGATCATGGTTCCAAATGCCTACCCAAAATTCAGCTTTTGCTGTCTTTCAGCAAATTGAAATAGCTTTGTATGTTTAGTCTTTCCATTTGATTTCAATTTCTATTTGAAAAGCATCAAAAATCAGTGAAAAAGACAAGTAGCAATAAGCTTCAGATAATCATAGTATTTTTCTTAATTAAACTTGACTGTTATTTCCCTCTTTAGTGTGAAATCACTGCCTACCTATGAAATGGTTCAAACAGTTCCTGAAGCACTGTATCGGACTTCCTGAAAATGCACTGGCTTGGAGGTTTAGTATTCCAAGAGTCTTGATCAGGACTATTTCCTGGCTGAGAAAACAGTAGAAGCTATCAAACTCTGAATACACATAATGGCTATAGTCTTTAAAACTTTAAACTTGGGTTTGCAAATAATATACATGTTTTCCCACCATTTTTACTTCTTTTTATCTTTACAGTGGAAGCCCAAACCTGCTAACAGCCCGAGTTCTGTATAACTCATACTTTTCCACCTTTGCATATCAATGTTAATATGCAAAATGTCCTTTTAGCACCCCATCCTCCCATAGTATGAACAAGCTTGATAGACTGTAACAAGCTGAAGTTCCACTGAAGATGACAGAATCAAAAAACCTCATCTGGAAGGGACCTCAAGAGTCATCTAGTCCAACCTGCTTAAAACAGGGCCAGCTTCAAGCTAAGGCCAGATTGCTCAGTAATGTTCAGGACAACCACCTGCTGCATGGCCTCTTCTTGTGCTTAGCCAGTTTTGTGGCTATTTTTTATCCTGTACAAACAGAATTTCCATTGTTGAAACTTGTGCCTTCCACCTCTTGCCATTTCTCTGCGTACCTCTGGCTCTGTCCTGTCTGTAGCTCTGTTTAGACTGTAGAAGACACTGGTTAGTTCACCCCACATCCGGGTCTTTCCCAGTCAATGAAAGCCCTCTTTGCTCACTCGCTTCATAATCACTACCTGCTCCAATCCCCTAACAATTTATGTGGCCCTTCATTGGTCTTGCAACACTTTGCTCATTTCTCTCTTGTACCGGGGGGGTCCCAAAACTGGACACTATCTCAGACGTGTTCTCACATATGCTGCTCAGAGCGAAATAATCGCTTGCCTTTGACTACTGGGTGTGCTCATTGTAGCAGCACGTCAAGGGAGGTGATTCTGCCCCTCTACTCTGCCCCCGTGAGACCCCACTTGAAGTACTGTATCCAGACCTGGGGCCTCCAACAGAAGAAGGACGTGAACCTGTTGGAGTGGGTCCAGAGCAGGGCCAGAGAGATGATCAAAGGGCTGCAGAACCTCTCCTATGAAGACAGACTGAGACAGTTGGGGTTGTTCAGCCTGGAGAAGTCTCTAGGGAGAACTTACAGCAACTTTCCACTGCCTAAAGGGAATACAAGAGGGCCAGGGACGGACTTTTTACAAGGACATGTAGTGATGGAACAAAGTGTAACGTTTTTGAACTGAAAGACTGTAGTTTTAGATGAGATATTAAGAAAGAATTCTTTACTGTGAGGTCATGAGAAACAGGTTGCCCAGAGAAGCTGTGGATGGCCCACCCCTGGAAGTGTTCAAGGCCAGGATGGGTCTTTGAGCAATGTGGTCTAGTGGAAGGTGTCCCTGCCCATGGCAGAGGGGTTGGAAATGGGTGATTTTTAAGGTCCCTTCCAACCCAAACCATTTCTGATTATTGACCTGTTGCCATGTAGACTTTAGCCAACAGACAACTATTTAGAGTATGATAGCAACAGACAGTTTTTTATTCATCTTATTGTCCATTTATCTGATTCATACCTCCCCATTTTGGCTACCAGGATCCCATGGGAAATCTTGTCAAAAGCCTTTCTCAAGTGTAGGTAAATAATGCCTGCTGTTCTCCCAAATTTACTGAGCTACTAATTTTGGCACAGAAAGCAATTGAGTCCACCAGGCACAGTATGACCTTGGGAAAACTGATGGCTGTTCCCAGACACCTTCTTGTTTTTCATGTACCTTGGAATTGCCTCTGGGAGCTTAGCTCCCTAATCCTTCCAGAGACAAAGGTGAGATGATACTTCCCCAGATCATGCTTACATTTTTGCAGATGAACATAACACATTTCTTGTCGCTGGGAAGCTTTCCTGATCACCACAGTCTTACAAAGACGATAGATATCTGCCCTGCAGTGATGTCATCCAACTCCCTCAATATACTTGGATGGACTCTGTTCAGTCTCATGTATTTCTTTATGTCCAGGTTACTATGGATTCTCTAACCTGTTCCTTCACTACCGTTTTGCACCACTCTCCCTCAACTCCCGACTGAGCTTGAAGAATAGCCAGAGAGCAGAACCTGCCTGAAAAACCTGAAGCAAAGTAGGTTTTGAGTGCTTCAGACTTTTCAATGTCCTTTGTCTCAATTCTATTTAGCACTTTCCTTCATTTTCTTTCTTTGATGAAACATCTAGAGAATTCCTCCTTACTGCCCTTCTGACCCATTGTGATTTTCAGCTCTGACCATCCTAATGGCACCCCTCCAAGATCAAGGCATGTTTCTGTGTTCTTCCTGGGTTGCCCATCCCTCCTTCTACACTTCTTTGCATTTGAGCTCAGTCAGGAGTTCCCTGATTCAGCCAAAGTGGCCTCTGGGACCTCCACATTCTCTTGCACATTGAGGTAGACTGTCCTTGTGTTTTGAAAGCATCTTTCTTGGGCTCCTTTTTTCTTCAGGTCAGGTTCCTCTGGGTTTCTGCCTACTCATTTCCTGAACAACCCAACATCTTCCTTTCTGAAGCCTTTGAAGCACTTCTTCCTCACTTACCTCAAGACTTTATAATACCACTGATGATACACATAGAATTTGTTTTATTATTTCCAACTAATAATATATTTTCTAAAAAATAAAGCATATTGTATTTGCTATTACTTTTCTAAGGATGACTGTTTTAAGAATCCTGAAGTTAACAAAAAATAATAGTAACATGCATCAGAACAAATAACTCTCAATTGTTACTTAAAGGTAATGAGTTAAAGAGCAGGGTTTTCTCGATCCTTTTAGAGCACTGAGAATACTGTAAGAACTATGTTACACTGCAAGATTAAAAATTAGGTCATGGGATCAACTGGGATCATACAACACCCAGTTACACCAACTGTATGTTTAAGAAAGCCGTATCTACAACTATAATACACTTCAGCTTTCTTTAACCAATTTTACAAGCCAGAAACAAAAGAAAGCCAGCAGCATGTGACTTTCTGCAGATATCAGCAATGCTGAGAGCTCAGTGTTAAGCTCAAGTTAAGCTTATTTCAGAACAATAAAACAAATATATTTGTATATATGGACTATTCATTGCCACCAGCCTACGAGAGATGCTGATCATTTATAATTATCTTCACAGTTACACTCTATCTATATACAAAACAAAAGAAAGTTAGTTTAAAATAATTCTGTGGAAGTAAAATGTTAACCAAACCTGCTTTTGCAGCTTCTCTTCATAGGTCTGTTCCCAAATGTCGCCCATTAGGTTTGTGTTGAACTTTTCTTCTGGAAGCTGTGTACAGTTAGAGGACTGAAAACCCTAAGAAGACAATGAACAAGCAATAAAAGCTCTTGCTCAGTTGTCTTCTTGTTCCATACTAGAGCCAACATACAGTAATTCAGTTACTTGTGAAAACTAGACAAAATATGGCAAAGAGAATTTTATCAGAAACTGTTTTGATTTAAGCATAAAGTGCAAGGTAATCAAGCCTTTCTATATCTTTTACATCTCTGCACATATGCCACAAGGAAGAGAAAATTTTTGTGTATTCGAATGTCATGATACGACTTTTTCACGAAAAACATAAGGCTATAAGGGCTTATTTCAGGGAAAGACATAAGTACCTATTTAATTTGAAGCATGCACACAAATGTTATCCTGCAGAGACATGGATATAAATACATTTTTACCACTATATAGGTAAATGATCTGCTGAATTGGTTCTGCGACTTGCACTTAAGTTCCTCTTAAAGACTCACTTTTGTTTATGCTTCTCACATTCCATCATTTCACATTTCTGTTCTTTTTTTAAATTACCTGCTGTTGGCCTCTGTTCCTTTCCCATAAGCTCTGTTCTTCATGACTAGCTTAGAGCACAGATATTCTGAAATAATTTGCAAAATGCCTAAAACAAGATGAGCCTTCCAGAAATATGTAATCACAGGAACAAATATAAAATGTGACTGCAAAATAATATATCAAAATAGTCCTACAGAGGAAGACTTCATATATTTCAGTATCAAATAAGATTTGGTCACTCTTTTAAAAATCACTTAAAAATACAGCAATTGCTGAACAATTTTAGTTTCATATCATAGGAAAAATAAACCTACATTATGCTGGTATTTTACTTTCTCTGAGAGATGCTGCCTTCTGCTTTCCAGTACTTGCTTTTGTAACCTTGTAAAATGAACAAAAACAGCCTATGAAATACAAGATACAAGATCTGTAAGATTAAAATATTCAGAGTATTAATTTCAAAATAATTTAGAAATATTTTTCCACACATCTTACAAAGGCCTGATTCTTAAGCAGTTGAGAGCAGCCTGTGTGTGATTCGGTCAGGTCAGGGTCTGAAGCTGGACAGGAAAGCAGTGTAAGTGGATAATGCTGTTTGAATAGCCTGCTTCTCAAGATAAAACTTGTGTATGTACCTGACATGAGTAAAAACACACCACCTTTTTTAAAAAAATCTCTCAGCTTCATGTGCAGTGTTTTATTCAGAATCTATTTATTTACTCTCACAGTATCATTGGAATGCCAGGAGTGATTGTGAAACTCCCTGTTTACTACGGTATGTATATGGTTTCTTAATACTCCAAATATAAAACCATCATGAAATACCTTTTCCAGAACTTCATTTTAGCATAACTATTGCCTATTTTATACAAGTACCTGTTCTGGAGATCATCTAGGTTTGACTTATGTTGTGTATGTAGTGGTGACGTGGGAAGCTCTAAGTTGTGTCTCCCAGGAAGTTTTTTTACATCTTCAATGATATCCACGTGGACTGGCTTCCTCACATTCTCTGCAATGAAATTATTTGCTATGTCAGAGCTGGGCTTGGTGAAAGTTTTGAGGTTCCTGAATGTTCACTTGAGTACAAAAGCTGTTGTTTTAGACTTCTTAATCCATTTAAAGCCATAGTTTTTCTTTCTTTTTTACTAACAATGCAAAAACTCTATTCTAAATGGCATGATAGTATAAAATTATTCACAGTCAGCTACTGTGTGTGGACAGGCTCTGTTGCCCTCCTCAGTCATCTTCTACTTTTCCTCAGCATAGGACAACAAATTTTCCACAATCTGGTTTATGAATATGTCACAGAAAATAAGAGTCATAGAGTCATAGAATTGTTTAGGTTTGAGAAGACCTTAAGACCATTGAATCCAGCCATTAACCCTGCCCTGCCAAGTCCACCACTAAACAATGTCTCTCAGTACCCCATCTGCAGGTAAAGAGTAGGACTGAAGTTGCAGTGACGTTTCTTTAGAAGTTTAATAATGGATTTTAAGAAAGATAATTTGGGTAGAACTGACAAGATTATTCCAAATGCCCAAATGAAAAAGGAAGTGGATTACAAATGGACCCATTCAACGGCAAAGGGAAAAAGAAATGGATATAAGATAAAATTAATGAATAGAAAATGAGGAAGGTGCATAAGTGTATGTTGCAAACATTAACCCTTTCCTGGCCAGAACCAGGACAGTGTACAAGACTTTAAAGGTGACGTAGGCTGTAGCCAAGGTTATTTGATTCGTCTTATGCCCTGACTTTTTATTCAGTCATAATTTTTGTATTTAGTTACAATTTTTTTATTTTAAAAATAAAACAACACTGAGCATTAAGTTACAAGTGGAAGAACAAGAACGAAAATAAAAGCAGTAATAGTTAAGAATAACTGATTCTGAGAAGTCAGAACACTGTTACTCAAAACTCACCGGTGTTGTCTTTTTTGGTTGATATCTGGTTAACCACATAGAGATTAAGAAGATCTAAACTGACTGCTGAACTTTTAGGAGATGATACTTCCAGAAGCTTCATTTTTGATTTAAGTTTCTTTTTTTCAAAGTATTCCTTAAATTTTTAAAGGAGATAATAAGTTTTTGACAAAAGCTTCAACAATAGACTAGAAGTATAGATAGATATTTCTTTTGAGATTAGCAAGCAAGACTTAGTGAACGATTCCTAATAATAAAAACACATGATTAAGTACCTCTGAATTCTCACACCCTGTTAGCAGTTAATTTATTTTTTATGGCCTTGAAAAAGACTGCAAGTATAATTGGTCATATTCAGAATAAGTCACCGTTATCTTGATGCCAAAAATTTAGTCCTTAAACACTCATTTCTCATACTTCCTGTATAATCACTAAAAACTATTTCTTTCAAATAAAAGATAACAAATGTGGCAAGAAAGAAGTCTTCAAAAATTTAAACTTGGGCTTTTTAGGCAATTTATAAGATAGTAGGCAAATAAACTAGCAAGATTACATACACCAGATGTGCCATCCATAATGACACAAAGAGTTTACTGTTCTCCAAATTTGTCTTTCTTGACAAAGAAAATAGTCTTGTGACAAAAAAAAAAAAGAAAGACAAATCTCTATGATTGGGACTTCAGAAAGACTTTTTGTTGTAAGGAATAAAAAGAGATATAACTGACACTTTGAATATATCAAGCAGATAATTCTGGAAAATTTAGGAAATAAAAAACGTCATTTTGTAGAGACTTAATAACGATCCTAAAATCATTAGCATCAAGTATAGCAGATTAATAAAATAAAACAAGTAAGATTTATTTTTTCTAACTGAAAAATGGATATTGAAAATTGAAGGCTATGCCAAAAAGAAAAAAAAATAGCACTGGCTTTTCTTCTGAAATGTAATTCCTCTCCTGAATGCAGGTTACATGTAACCAATATACCCAACATGTTCATTAGTAACTAATTTTCAGTATAATTTATTATTATCTTTAGCTTTCTAGGCTGATTTCATCTGTGGAAAATATCTATTTTTCAGTTAAGAAGTAAAATCAACCTGTGTACAAATCAACACTTCAAAATTTATATTACTTTGGGGTCCACACCCCTAAGATGTATCCACTTCCCTTCAGTGTCCCAGATATTTTCTTTCCATCACCTCTAAATTACCAAATTACTGATAATTGTGTAATAGCAATTACAAAATTACCACTCTGTTTAGTAATTTAGTGCTACATTATTAAAAACAATTCTGACTTGGATCCTTTCCTTATTTCCCTCCTCCACTGAAGCAAATTACATAGTTTTAACATTAATTATGTGGTTTAGACTAGTAATCCCTGAGAAAACAGATATTTTGAGAACTCGCAGGCCTCCAGGAGACTGGGAAAGTGATGAAGACAACAAGCTGCTGATTGGTCCTGCATTCCCTTATGTAAACGTTTTTATTTCAGTGATTGTCTCCATACAGTCAGCCTGTTTCTCCTACTTCTCTGTATGCCTATGCACCTGCTCTGGGCACTGGGGATACCAGCTGCAGTGGTGGAGCTTCCCTGTACTGCCTCTTTCTTCCCTGCTTAGGACACTGACTTCACTTACTGCGGTTATAGCCATTTTCTCTTACTGTTTTCTTCCTCTTTGCTGTTTGAAACATCTTCTGCCAGGGATAAGTTTGGTTCTCTTATTTCACTTTCAGATTCAAAATACAAATAAGTTGGCCTACTTTTGCAAATGCCAAATAAAGTACTTCAATGAGCCTAACACCCTTTAATACAGCCCAGAAGAATAGCTGTGTATGCATGTGTTAGGCCAGCTGACCATGTGGTTGTCACTGTGAGGCTTCAAGCAATCCCATGTGTCAGCACATAGCAATGTAATATGGTAACAGCAGTAATTCAGTAAAACTTAAATTGGGCACATTCATTCATTCATTCATTCATTCACGCCCTTCTCCGGCTGCCTCCTCTTCCTGCTGGAATTCAGTGTAGTAAACCTAGCACAAGACTTTTGCTCTAAAAGTCAGGTAAAAACAGATGCTTTGAAAGTATTATCTAAGTAAATCCACTAAAGCATTTATATAACAATATAAAATCCAAGGTAGCTAAAACTGTTTACCTTTTGTTTTCTCCTTTCCTGCTTTAATATGATTCTGCTCCTAAAAATGCAAATAATTATTATTTTAATTGCAAAAGTATAATCTTGAGTCATGGCTTGAATTGCTCATCAATGTTATTGAGAATTTAGGACACAAATATGTTATGTTATGTTGTGTTATACTATGCCATGTTGTGTTGTGCTGTGTTCTGTTATGCTATGCTAATGTTATGTTATGTTACATGTTATGTTATAATGGATATTCAGGTAGTTAAGTCAATATATCTCTGTTGAAGTCACCTTGACTGATCTTGGTTTACTCAGTTAAGGACAGGACAACATTGTCTATTAGGCTACTACACTGAACATGAAAAAGGAAAACAGAAGAAGCTTTTAGTCATTTGACCTGTAATGCAACATTTCATCAATTTGTAATTTCTTAAAACTTAAGAAATATTTGTCAATATATTATTTTCTCCTAATTTTCTTTGTCATGCTGCAATATAGTTCCAAAATATATCAGCAAAAAACCCAAAGGAGCACTATACAAGCTTTTACCTTTTTGGTACAGAATATTGTGAACCTTCCACAAAAAAGGTAAGAACAATAGTTTGTCACTACAAGGTGCTGTTGTTTGTGCACCCTAGGAGATGGTTATACCTTAAACTATGTATCTCACTTGTAAAACTTAGCCTTAAATGCATTGAAATGGATTGCCTACAGGACATAGTGCACAAAATTGGACGTCATGGTCACTGCTGTGAGCAGGGTGAGCACGGCTGCATTCCTTGGGTCGGTAAGATTAGGACATTTGTGAGGGTTAGAAATATTGAATATCCCCTTGGAATGACTTTTTCTTCTTTTTCTGTTCTTAAGGTTAGAACAAACTTTCTAAACATGCGCACATAACATTTGCCCTTGCAGTGGGGAGAAGCCTTAGTAACAGGTAGTTTTTCTGGCACGTCAAACGCAAATCCCAGGCTCACTTAAGGAACCCTGACAGATACTACCAGCAGCAGCAAGCAGCAGGTTGATTTGTATTTGCTAAGTGCGTGCAATACTCCTACACACTGGGTTTTCTTAGAGAGGGTATGACAGACAGACATTTAGGACAACATTGGGTTTGGGGTTTTGGGTGTTTTTTTTTCAAACTGAAGCTCTCCCCCCTGCTTCACAGAGGCAATATTCAGAAATCCCATTTTGCTGGGAAGACTTCCAGATGAGTAAGCCATTCTTTTAGTTTGATTCTGCATAGAGTCAAGAAGATTACAAAGCTGTGTTTAGCAACACTGCTTCCCAGTGGCTGGTAAAATCTGTGGGGTTTACATTTCTAGTAGATGGGCAGATGGTACAGCACCTAAAGAAACTGAATGTTATTTTTTTTTTTTTTTAACATTACAACTCAGTTTGTGGTATTTTACTATTTCAGTGCATCTCAATACCTGTACATCTTTTTCTCTAAATGGCAACCACTGTTGTTCGCTGAGAGTGTGAGGAAAGGCCTCACCCAGCCCCTGCCTGTGGAGAAACACTGGGCCTAAACATGACAGCCCTGCTTGGGGCGGGATGGCTGCGTCACCACACAAACCACAGCGCTGCCCAGCCTGTGAGGGGACACCGACACAGCATGGAGCTGTTTCTGTCAGCCTTTGAAGAGTTTCACTCACCGACTGCCACCAACCCAGTTCATTTTCTGCTGCTGAGGAGGGAGGGAGGGAGGGCTGGAGGTGGGGGCGATGGCCACGACAGAGATGGTTTGCAGCCCCCCAGCAGGGCCACAGGGCCCTCCTGCAGGGTCTCCTCCTCCCTGGGAGCACCAGGGCAGCTGCTCCCCATGTCCCCAGGCTAGCAGAGAAGAAGGAAAGGGTGGTGCAGGGACACACAGCCAAAAGGGAAGGATGCAGAAAACCAAGCAAAGCAGCTGATGGGGAGGAAGTGATACTCTGGTTGCTGCTGCTCCTCCTCTACCCACCATGTTTCCATACAGGCTGCTGCCAGAAGCCATTGCTCTTTTGCAAGGGGGTGTCCTTGCAAAAACCTCTTGCTGTCCCAAGTGAATTGATTTGTCTTTCAGGGCCAGCTTGTCTTTGCTACAACCACCATACTTTTAAGGCAAGAGAGAAGCACCTTCCTCCCCATCCCGCTCTTCCTCAGGTAACTTAGGGGCAACAAGGGAATCAATGAGCATTTTCTACTAGCAAGTGTTGTTGCCCTTGGGTCTGTCTGATGACCTTTTGTGTGCAAATGTGATAAACCCTCCAGGAGAGATGCAGAGCTGCAGGTGCTCCCTGTGCTCCCAGGGCATCTTAGCAGCAACACAGCTCCACTCGCTCCCTTCCCTGTGACTCCCTGCCATTGTTTCAGCAAGTGAAGGCACCCATTTACAAAACAATCATCAAATTTTACATGAATCTTTTCCTGTGGCATTTCTTTACTGAGTTATCTTTAGCCTAATATTTCTCAGGGTACTAAAGTTTGTTTAGAATTAATACATCAGTGGGAAGGATGCTCAGAGTAGATATTAGGAGTCTAATATTAAAAATGACCCAAGATTTTTTTCTTTGTAATACTTCTAATTTGATTAGGGTGTTTATAGAATCGGAATAGTATGCATAATTGGTTATTGTAACAACACTAGATTAAAATCATCACAATAGGTAATATCTATATTTTAAGTCTATGTGCCTCTACAGCTCATATGATAGATGACAGAATGAAAGTTAATTTAACTAATTTAATCACTTCAAACATTAACTTTTATTTTCAATTCCATCTAATGTAAATGTTTCACATGTTAATACTATGTCTAAGATGAAGTTTCATGCCTAACATATTCAAATACCTTTTACTTTTGTTTTTCTAATATATCATGTTTTCTGTATCACCATCACCCTTACTTTTCTATAGTATTGTCTAGATTTAAAGAAAAAAGTGCACTTTTCTTTATGTTTGATTTATTTAGTCTGGTAGTTAGCAGTTATTTGTAGAATCCTGGAAAAGTGACACGGCAGCTTCAATTAATTATTTTTCAACATAAGAAATCTTCTCCTCAAATTATTTTCTGCAGATAAAGACCTTTCAAACATCCATAAAATAAAGAATCAGTTCTTTTTTGAGGAAGGCAAAGTAAACAATTAAATAAGACCTGAGATGTATATGACTATATTTCCAGTATCTGCATGTTGTGCCTTGACTGAACATTTGAAAAGTTTGAAATAATTGTTTTGGATGTCTGAGTGACATCTTAATTTTCAAGAATTGCAGGTCATTACTGTTAATTTTTAAAAGGTCATGAGAATGAGTTTCATGGAGCTTAGCTGATTTTCTGGGAAGTTAAGTAAGTATAGAAGAAAGACTTTCTCTATGTGTCAAAAACTGAAGTTTAAAGATTTCCCCTTTTTCTAACTTTTACAGCCACCCTTCAGAATAACTGCCTCTCATGTTTTGTTAAGAAAGTATTATACAGGATCTTCTTCAGAACAGCTTTCCAACCTCCATCACTGGAGTTTTCCTCTCTGATATGCTTCTTCATTATCAGATCAGCTCTAGATACAAGTGACATAGCAAAGCAGTTCAAAGTAGTGTACCATTTATCTGATGCAAGAATGCATTTCTACAGAAGGCTGGTGTTGAAGTGTTGACTGTGCAACTCAAAGCATCCAGCTTTAAGTAAGTAAGTAAGTTTAATAAGTAAGATGCAGAGTAACTGAAATGCTTTTGAATCTCTATCCAGGGTAGGAATTTTTGGTACTTTTAAATACCAGTATGCACTTATTTAGGTCCCTAAATATCAGCCTAATTAGCTAATACTAGGAATGCACAACTAAAAGAAGCCTGACTGTTCCAAGTGGAAGCTTTCCTTTGGCAAATGCAGTGCTTAATCTTTGTTTACAGAGTTGCATGGTCTTCTTCCAGTCAGTGATCTATGTCCATTTCCTCCTTGAGAGATCAGTTTATAAAGAAAAAAAGCAACACTATCTGTGGTGTTTTACACTAACCTGGTTGATTGTTCTGCCCTAAAAAGTTCTTTTTAAAAGATGGCTGTGATATTGCAAAGTCATGATAAGAGTCTGAGGAGGTTTAAAACAGAGGACAAAACTTGATTTAAAAACAAAGTTGCTCCTTTTAAAAGTAGCTCCTCTTGAAAGACAGATCTCTCTTTCAATTAATTTAATGAAAGGCCCTTCCTCTATTCACCTTGAAAGGGTATAGAGACAGTAGATAGTAGAGAGGCTAAACAGTTTCCAAACATAGCAAACTGGTCAGCTCAGAGAGAAGCAGTTAATCTGCCTGGGTCAAAATCCAATGCCCATCTGGGAAGAACATGGGATTCGATCTACATGGCAAACCACCAGCCAGGACAGTACCACTGACAACAGTAGGTTGACACATTGCTATATGAAGCAGATGCCATTCTTAGCTGGTGTTATTTAGATGGAATAATTTTTCACTGAATGAACCCTCAAGACTAGGTGCAGTCCTTGGCTTGATGGAGAACAACGCACGACATCTGTTTTCAGAATGCTGAAAACCCCATTTTATGAAAACAGTATTTCTATAAAGATTAAAAAAGACCAAAGAATCCTCTGCAGATGTGCTAAACTCCAGTAAGGGAACAATGTCAGTCTTGTTAAGAACAAATTAGGAGAGGGAGCTAAAAGAATTAAATCTTTACGTGTGCTAGGAAAAAGCTGAAGGATACCAGACTTGAAAAAAAGAAACAGTCTGAACCACAGCAAATAGCTATACTGCATTCAAAAGAAGATAACAGTAAGGAACATGAACTCTGAGAAACACAAAAATACAATTAGATAGGCCAAAAAGAATTTGGGAAACAACTAGGCAAAGGAACCAAACTACTAAATCACTCTTCTTCACATCAACTAGGAACAAAGCTTGCTAGAGGGCCAGTTGAGGGCCAAGGTAAAACATAAGTGCTCAGAAGAGACATGGATGTTACAGAAAAGATAAGTTAGTCTTCTTGCATCGGTATTCATTGATGAGGAAAGTGGGGAGAACTTTATACAGGAATCCTTTCTGGAGAACTCAGTGAGGATCAGTCCAAAGTGAAAATAACAACAGATAGTCAAAATCATCTTAACCAAGACCGAACAAAGACTAGCAAAGCATCGGGACTAAATGGTATTCACTGAAGAGTTCTATAATGAAGCACTATGACCATGTATAACTTGATTTTGGAGTAGTTTTAGAGACTAGAGGGTAGTAAACGTGACAATTTTGAGAAATAATAATTCTGTGGCAATCCAGAAAGCTTACTTCTGCATAAAAAATTGCAGGAACTATAATGTAGGTCAGCATGTGAAAAGCTGACCTATAGTGTACCTTCTGCAGACAGAATTTGCTGCCTCATAAACATGTAGAAAAGAGCGATTGCTGTAGTCTTGATGGATTTAATTAAGGCTGCTGACAACATCTGTTACTTAAGGTTTTAAGAAAACTAAGAAGCAATGAAACAAAAGGGAAAGTCCTGCCATTTATTAAAATGCAAAAGAAAGGGAGGAGAATATTTAGTTCTGGTATCGCTGTAGTCAATGGCTGGGGGCTGATATGGAATAGAGGTTGACGAACTCCTGAGATGGGAAAGTTGCTGGGTGAGAGGAGAGTGGGAGAGAGTGAGGAAGAGCGAGCTCCACTGTTGAATGCCTCTTCCAGAACAGGCATAGGTGGCCATAAAGTGGAGCCTGTGGGATTCAGGGTCAAATCAAGATGAAAGGAGGGATTCTTCATATATGATATGGTAGATCTGAGGAATTGCTTGCCATAGACGTTATTATTTGTATAAGACTTTACATTATTTCAAGAGAGACTGGACAAGTACTTTTAAGAGTAGAATATTTAACAGAAAAACCTCTCACTCTCAAAATTCTCACAGTTAAAAACGGTCAGAGGGTGGGAGAGTATGAAGCTGTAGCAGGGGAGGCAGCATCACATGTAATTGCAATTCTTTTTCTTCCTTGGGTATCTGCTTAGAGCTATTGTTAGAGGCAGATTCCTGTGCTCGATGGAGCACTGGTCTGAACCAGTTTGCTTCTTCTTAATATTTAGAAGTCTCCCAAATAAGAGTTAATAAATAAACTACAGTAGATGATCTTTGTGTTGTCATACCAGCTGCAAACCCTCAAAAATTCTTGAGGCATAACAAAAGGATGGCAGCAGATCCCGTGTTTGGGGTGTATGAGTAGAAGAGATTATTTTCCTGGATTTATTCCTGCCTGCACTTTTGCAGAGTAGAACACTGGCTCTGCTGAGGGCAGAGCCAGTAGCACCATTGCTAACTGATACCAGCTACATGATTTTACCACTTTTACCTGTACTATTGTACTTGGCATATAGCTTATTTAAAGTGTTCACAATGCACTTGAGAAAAGGTTTAATAAGGTTGCATTTTCTTCAGATGATCTGAGAATAGAAACCTTAAACAGAAAGAAACTCAAAGCAAAACCTTTAAAAACATATGTAACATATTCAAGACTTCTGAAAGCATAAAAAAGACACACGCTGATTCAGCTGAATTACCTGTATGAAATAAGAAATAAGCTTAACGAGAAAGAGAAATATGTCCAAAACATACAGATATTTAAGTTTTTAAGTATTTAAGTGTAAATACTGAAATGGTAATTCTTTGTCTGAGATCCTAACTTGGCAGTTTACTGTGGTTGGAACAGCTGACATTGATCTTCTCCATCCTTGGCCTTTTCCCTGTCCCTCTCTCTTCGTAAAGGGAAAACAACTTGTTTACACTTCTTTCTAGAGCTGTATTCTATCTAGAATCTCACTGTTCTCAGAAGTCAGAATTGTTTGTGATTGGTCTGCTATTGACTGTCCCATCAGTCGGATTACTCAAATCCCTTATGGATAAACTATCAGAACCCACAAGTCATACAGGGTTCAAATTTACAGCAGCAAGTATGCATCTCCCTAAAGACAGAGTAAGGGAAAGAGGACTCCTGGTGTGGGAATGCCCCCCATTTACACCATCTCTGTGATGTCTACACTCAGGAGCCAAACAACAGAGTAGGATCTCCCTATTTCCTCTCTCCTCTCTTGCCATAACACACCTCTGGCTATTCTGGGTACCCTACAGCCCCATTAGGACCAAAAGAGTTGGAATCAACTGCTTGGTAGGATCAGGCCAGTCTCACCACAGTGACACTTTTTCGACAAGCTTCTACCTCTGTGATTTTAAACCTGAAGCTCCTTGCTTGGCTTAGATCTCCAGATCCTAAAGGAATTACAGTGTCTGGATATTCTACTGAGGTATATGAATATAGTCAATAGCTTCTCTAAACTAGGCTGAATAAGCAGATAATTTCTGCTGATACAAACTTGAAATCAAAGGTCAGGGTATCTTATCACCCTTTTCTGATAAAAACATCAAATTTGTCATTGGTGTGCCTTGACATTGCAAACTCTTTCTGTGGGTGTATTTCTGTACTTATGTAAGGGATGACATTAAAGTAAACAGAAAATTTGGAAGTACTTCAGAGTAAGGTATTTACTTGATTAATGACTTGTATGTTCATCCTCTCTTGAATCTGGCTCAAGCTGAGTCCTACTATTCCCACACCACTATGATAAAATATACAGCTCAAAATTAAAGAAAATAACAGACGTTCCCAGCTCACCATATTACAGTACAACATATTTTAGACATTATTTACAGTTCAGTATTAGTATTTGAAAACAACAAGCACTGTGTGGATTCATGACATACTCATCCACATAGAAGCTGCTATGTACTGTATACATGACCTATGCATATCTAAATGTTAAAGATCATAAATAGTAATGATTCAAAATGCATAATTTATATCTATTTTTCAGTATCTTTATTTTTTATTTTGTATGTCTTTATGGCACAGTGGATAACTCCATAAGCAGTGAGGAAATTCCAGTTTACTGCACATTGACATAACGGCTATGGGACCTTCTGTTAGGATCATATAAAACATCAGGTAAATGGCCTTTTGCTTAAAAAGTTGCACGCTTTGTTTTTTCAAACACTGAATCAAAAGATACAAAAAATGATCATGGAGTAGGACTGATTGATATCTCTTGCATAACAGCCTTCACATTCCAATTCCACTACCTCCACTGCAACCACAGAGTTGTGCAAGGACCAAGTGCTGGTGTGGGAGCCAGCGGGATTAAAACAGAAGAGAAAAAAAGAGGCATCAGTTGCCATGATTACACTCTAGTTCCTACATATTCAAACATTCATGGACGTTAGTCACTCTAATACTCATTATCGCCATTTCTTTTTCCTCCTCAGTTATTGGTTCCTGCACACAAGTTATTTTAACGCATTTGGTGAAAACTAACCATATGACTAAAAAACAATCATTTGACACTAACAAATGTGTTTTTCCTTTAGAGAGGATAAACCCCCAAACATTCTGGTTCCAATATCAACATCCCTCCAATCTCACAGCTTCAATTACTCAAACTTCACTGAACACTGCACCAATATTACTGCAGCTTTATTAATTATTTTTCGAGTAATATTGTGAACTTTTATTATGACTAAATGTAGTAAAATTGCTGCCTTCAGCATTAAAAAAATATAAAAATCTAACACCTAAGGCCATGCTTCACAAAGAGGAGTTTGTGCACGGACTACTGAGCAGGACTGTGGCAGAGCAAAACTCTTGAGGCAGCAAGAACAGAAGAAAGAGAGTATTTAAAACAACAGTTTAGGCTTTTCTTCATGCTTTCAAAAGGAGGAAATACATTTCTTTTATTGACTGAAACACTGCACAGTAAGATTTGCTTCACTTAAATGTTCCCACAGATCTGACTGTGGGGTGTACGTCTGCACTAACCACCAAGCCACCAGAAATTTCAGTCGTCCAGGATCTTGCAAAGCGAAAGGTCAGCAGACATGCAGAACCAAAAGAGATCTGTGAACTTTCCCCTTTGTAAGAAAACGCTAGAGTAATGGAATATTGCAAATAGCTGTGGTTTGGCAAAATCTTAGAGTATGCTGTGGTACACACAAGCCAGAAAGGGAAGTATGCAGTTGGAGATCATGATTAAAAAAACAACAAAGCCTAAGTAAAGCAATTTCTTAGCCAGTGTATCTTGTGTCTGTGCACTGAAAAACCTTCCTATTTTACTGACAAAACAACCTGCAGTGAAATCAGGCCTACCTACTAACTGAAAGTTAGCTGAACTGCACTAGGTCAGATTTTGACATTTTTCTAGCTTTATTTGAGTTATTAAAAAAAAAAAAAAGGCTAGAAAGGTCTCTGTCTAAATCTCTAGCCTGTCCTCACTGGTAAAAATACAATAAACTCCAAAATTACCTCACATCTTCTCTAAGTAACTGTCCAGCCCATTGTGGACGGAATTTGTGCAATCTCCTAGGAAGAAATGAGAAATAGATGTTTCTTGGTCTTTTCCTGCTGGTCTTGGCTTATTGGACTTTTTGGAAGGCACCTGGATGTTTAGATAAATGATGTCTGATTTTTAAAAGCAAAGCTTGCTCGCTCTCAAATCAAAGATATCATTCCCTCATCCTGAAGCTTCTGTTGCTCTCTAAACATCATCACTGCACCCTGTTCCCACTAAAGGGGGCTGCTTTATAACAGTAAAGTGACAGCATTTGCTGAGTTACCAAGAGACTGGTGGCCTTACTCTCCATTTCTAGGGAAAGGCCGGGCTGCTCAGCACTCCTATATGCTCAGCACATTCTTAAATTCTGCTTTTATATACACACCCTAAACTAATGCTTTATCATATATCATCTTATACAGCTCCCTTACTACTACATTTTCAAGGTGTAAAAGAACCTGAAGTATTTTTTAAGTACTCTGATTCTCCCCCTGCAGTTTCAAATACAGTACCTTTTCCAAACGAGGTAAGAAGTATAAATAAGAAATTAGGAAAAGAGAAAAAATAAAGCATCAAGACAACTGCCTTTACGGTTGATTCCTTTGTGCGAAATTAGCCGGGTTTTGCTGTAGAGGCCGTGCGACTGGGTCGGGGTTGTTTTGGGCTGCCAGAACACAATACCGGTTTCCTTTCGGCGAGCGGACAGGAAACAAATTACGCGAATTGTGCAGGCGCTGCCCCGGAGCCGCCGAGCCGCCCGAGTCCTTCCCGCGGCCGCCCGACCAATTTCCGACCCGGGGCCGCCCGAGGGCACCGGCTCCGGCTGTGCCCGCCTTCGCCCGCGTCAGTCCCGCACCGGGCGCCCCCCCCGCGACGGCGCTTCAGCTTCCCCGCCCCGGGGAGGCTCGGGGTCGCCGGGGGTGACGCGCTGCCCGCCGGGGCTGCCGCGGGGACCGCGCTCTCCCCGCTGCCGCCGTCCCCTCCTCCCCCCGTGCCGCTGGCGAGGCCGCGGCCGGGGCCGGGGGCGGAGGCGGCGCCTGCTCTGCAGGGCAGGCGGAAGGAAAGGGCGGACGCAGCCGGGGGCGAACCGGAGCGCTGCAGGGCCGAGCGCCGGGGGACCAGAGGTGCGGCTGGAGCCAAGCGCCGGGAGACCCGCCGCGAACGCGGGGCAGGGCGGAGCTCCGGGGCACTCAAGCTGCTGCCGCTACCGGCGCTGGTGCGGCCGCGCCCCGAGCTATAGCGGTGCGGCCGCGGCGGCCGTGCGGGGCAGCCGGGCCGCTGCCGGTGCCGCCCCGCGCGGCGCAGCCAATGGTGGTCGGCGGGGCGGGCTGCGCCGCGCAGGGCCGCGTTGTGCAACGCGCCGCGCTTTGAAGGCACCATCGCCCCTGGGAGGCAGCGCTCACTCGGCATCTGTCACGGCAGGGCGGCCGGCGGCGGGCCGGGCCCAGCGCCCCAATGAAGACCCGGCGGGACCGGCCTTCGCGTTGGGCATGATCCGCCCGCGGTAGGAGCGGCGCGTAGCGGTGCCCCGGCGGGCAGGATGGCCCACATGCTGCATGCGGCGGCCCGGCGGGTTCAGTGGAGCAGGACGGGCGCCGCGAAGAGGGCGGCGTGCCTGCTGGCCGCGGCGTACGGGCTCAAGATCCTCTACCCCATCATCCGCGGGCGCGTGAAGCGGGCGGGCGGCAGAGGCGGCTCCCAGGATGAGGGGGGCCAGGCGGCGCCGCACCGCGCCAGCGGCCGGGGCAGAGCCTCCCCGGCCGTGGACGCGGAATTCTTCAGGCAGCTGCTGGAACTCCGCAAGCTGTTCTTCCCGAAGCTGGTGAGTGCCGAGCTGGGCTTGCTTTGCCTCCACTCGTTTGCTCTGGTGTCCAGGACTTTCCTCTCTATCTATGTGGCCGCCCTCGATGGGAAAATTGTGAAGAGCATCGTGGAAAAACAGCCCAGGAGCTTTATCTTCAAGTTAATCAAATGGCTGATGATTGCGATCCCAGCCACTTTCGTGAACAGCACCATACGGTACCTGGAGTGCAAGCTGGCCCTCGCCTTCCGCACGCGCCTGGTGGATCACGCCTATGAGACCTACTTTGCCAACCAGACTTACTACAAAGTGATCAGCATGGACGGGCGGCTGGCCAACCCCGACCAGTCTCTCACCGAGGACATCATGATGTTCTCACAGTCTGTGGCACACCTCTACTCCAACCTCACCAAGCCCATCCTGGATGTTGTGCTCACCTCCTACACCCTCATCCGCACAGCGCGGTCCCGGGGGGCCAACCCCATTGGGCCCACGGTCCTGGCCGGGCTCGTCGTCTACGCTACGGCCCGTGTGCTCAAAGCCTGCTCGCCCAAGTTTGGCAAGCTGGTGGCCGAGGAGGCTCACAGGAAGGGCTACCTGCGCTTCATACATTCACGCATCATTGCCAACGTGGAAGAGATCGCTTTTTACCGAGGGCACAAGGTAAGTAGGAGAGAAATTGGAGGGTGTTGTGGTCACTTTCACAGTGCCGGAGCAGACCCACGCTTTCCCTGCTGCCCTCCCGGAGCACTTTGGGTCCCTCTGACATTTAAACCTGTTTACAGCTTAGCACTTCCCATTTCTTAGGAAAATGCCATCACATAAGCAGTATCTGGGGGGAGCAGATCACAAGTTCCCTTGAGCTCTGACAATATTCCGGTTTTGCAGCTGGATCTTATGCTTTTCTAGAAAATTTATCTCCGTTATTGTTTTTCCCCCACCCAGTCCATTCTGATTAACTTTCCCCGGCTTTTTTTTTTTTCCCATCCATTTGTATGAACTGCCAGATTTAATACTGCAGAAATAGCAAACAGGGTACACCAGAAAGTCTAGGGGAAAACTCTGTGATAGCTCAGAGCGCACTACAACCTCTGACACTCTTTTACATAGCTAAGCAAAGATGTAGTCATCAGAGTCTTAAAATAGCTTAAGTACAGTACTTCTGCAATCATAGTTACATAAACTAGTAGCTTGTTTTAAAGCCACCTGATTAAGAAACTCTTCATATTTTTATTAGAAGTGGATTTTGGCTGTAATACCTTTCAAACACAATTGGAAAAAAAACTTGTTTCATGTAAGGTGAAAATGAAAGCTGGAAACCAGCCTGAAGTATTACTCTCTGAGTCCAAGCAATGATTATATAAGGTAAATGGTTTATTTTTGTAGACACAGTTATTCTCAAAAGCTGCCTATCGTAATGTTTTAAGTGTAGCTAAATTAAACATTTTCTCAATTCCCACATATCCGGGCTTGAGCTGAATACATACTGTATTGACTTGCCACTCTCTGACTTGTTAAACCTCTTGGGATAGTTCTCTCTTCTCCCAGACTTCTTGCAAAAACAAGCAGCTTTGCATTTCAGGGATCAGCTCTGCAACTTTAAGTCACTGGAGATAATTGATCCCCAAACGCTGCCCAATATGAGTTTCAGTTGCTGTGAAACTCTACAGCTGCAGCTTTATTAGAAGGATGTGGCATCAATCTTATTATGGGTGTTAGAATCAGCTGCTGTTGTGACTGCCTTCTATGTTGTTCTTGTATATATCAGAGATCTTAAAAGAGTTGAAAACCTACCAATGTTCTATCGAGGGACGATAGATAGTGTAATAAGATGGTGTAAATAAGAAGCAGGTGCACTGACTTCTGTAAAGCTGTGCACTTTTGCTGTGAGACTGCAGTAGAGTGAAAATAAAGTACCATGTAGCAGATGTGATTCAGAAGTCACAGCTCTGGGTGCTGGATTATTTCAGGTGCATATGTGAATGTATCTTATATGACATGTGCATCTTTGTTGCATTGTATAAATGTTTTATTTTTTTAACTGTAGGTAGAATTGAAACAGCTGCAAAAAAGCTACAAAGCTTTGACAGATCAAATGAATCTCATTTTGTCCAAACGTTTATGGTACATCATGATAGAGCAGTTCCTGATGAAGTATGTCTGGAGTAGCTGTGGTATGATTATGGTCGCTGTGCCCATCATTACTGCAACGGGATTTGCAGATGGCGGTAATACATTTTTTTCTTAATTTCTAAATGTTTCTTTAAAGTTATGTCCTCGAAAGACTGTACTTCCCCTGAATGCCACTCATATTGATTTATTTTTCACAGACTTTATTACAACATCCCTATCCTGTGTGTAACTTTCAAGCATAGCAAGTCAGCTGAGAAAAGAGCAACACAAATGATTCAACTTTGAGTGTAAGCCTGATAAACAGTATGAAGTCAGGACTTAGAGGATCCTTGTGTCACACAAGATTACAATGTTAATTGCCATCCTTTTTCACTAGCTACTCTTGGGATGGTAGGCTGATGTTTGCAGCATCTCCATTTACAAAATGATACTATGAACTTTCCTAGAGTGCTTATCTCCTCCTTCCATAAACCACAGTGTAATCAAAGGTAATTATAGGTCATTTTTCTCTTACTGTTGACCTGTTAGGAACTGCTGGTTTTCCCTGACTCCATGGGCAAAGAGAAGGTGAAAATCAAATTCCAGACTAGGATGGTATAATTTTTGACATCCTGACACAACTTTCCTGGAAGTGAAACAAGACTCAAGTAGTGTTTTTATTGCAGATACTTTTAAAAGATAAAAGAGAGAGAGAGAACAGAAAGAAAGGTAATTAAGGAATAGTAGTGAAAGACAAGTGGGTAATTTGGTTCAACAGGCTTCCTTGTGCACAATTAGTACCACAGAATGTATTGGAATTCCACAGGATTCCTTAAACACAGATCCTATGATGTCTGTGGAAGGATCAGTTCCAAGTTGGATACACTTAATCAGAAAGGAGTGAATTCTTTTCTGTGCAGTAGTTATATTTTTTTCTTGGTAGTTATATTCCAAATCAGGACTGTCCAACTGGACAGGCTTGATGTGACCTGTGGGATGACTTTAGGCGGTGCCCACATGGTTTAGCTCACTTGCAGTTGTGTTGATACACGGCTGGGCAGCTGTCTGAGCTGCTGCCCATCATATGACTCAGGAGGGCACTATATCAGGACCCTGGCTGACATCCTGGGAACAGCTTCAAAAATATCAGGATGTCTTGTTCCAAACAGAAGAGGTTGTACAAAGGCATTTCACCTCACAGTGAAGGTTATCAGCACAACAGAAAAAGTGATAAGAGTCTTTCTGCTAGAATGGGAATGAGTACAATCGAGAAAAAGAGCGTTTAACCACATGTTGTAAATATCTCCTTCGTATTAGAGCATGAATAAAAAAAGACTTGTATTCATGCTAAACTAAATAACATTCCTGTTCCCAATGACTGTTCTTTTGATAAATACATTTCAAATGTGGGAAAAAAGAAAGACGGAGCAGTGGCTCGTGTTGTAAAGCAGAATATTTGCCACCAGCAACCTAAACTGATAAAACATGGGTTTTATTGTGGAGTCCTGAGGCATAACATAATGGTGGGTGGCAGACATAATCCTGACAACACTGTCAAGACCAGTTCGAGGTATTACAGGTATTCAAA